CAGAGATTTCGATTTCAATTACCGCTTTCTAATTATAATCTTGGCATGTCTGCATCAGGAAAAAAGCAAGCTTTGATATCTTTATCTGACAAGAAGGATTTGGCTTCTCTTGGCAACGGTCTGCAAGAGCTGGGGTATGTTTTCTTCACAACTCTTTAACTTAGAATTTGAGTTCTCTTTATATCGTAAATGTATTATCCGTTTTAAATGATTCCTTTTTCATCTTATATATGGACGTAGATACACTATTGTTTCTACTGGAGGAACTGCCTCTACTTTAGAGAATGCTGGAGTCTCTGTGACTAAAGTGGAGACGCTTACTCATTTTCCAGAAATGGCAAGTGATTTTTTTTTCTTCTCTTAAGCTCGTGGCTGTTACTTAAGTTTTGATCCTGTGTTCTGAATTCTGATTAATACTTCTTCAAAGATTTTGTCAAAATGAATTGTGACTTTTTTCAATGACGATACCGTTGTTTTGTTAAGTTTGGTATATTAATCTTAGTTCTCCTTTTGTTATTTTTGTTTTCTTGTCGAAAAGCTTGATGGCCGTGTGAAGACTTTGCACCCAAACATCCACGGTGGTATCCTTGCTAGAAGAGATGTGGAGCATCATATGGAAGCTCTTAATGAGCATGGGATAGGTGGATTTTGACGTTTGATGTTTCCTCTATTTTCTAAGGTTGAGATTAAGTCATCGGTAGTGTCTCCTCTATGCTAAACTGCTCTTTTGCTTCTTCTTTCTTTTGTATTCGATCATTCGATGACAGGTACATTTGATGTGGTGGTTGTCAATTTGTATCCATTCTATAGCAAAGTTACTGCTCCTGGTGGGATCAGTTTTGAGGATGGGATTGAGAACATCGACATTGGTGGTCCTGCTATGATTAGAGCAGCCGCTAAGGTAATACATATATATATATATATATATATATATGCATGTGAGAGTTATTCTTTATGTTCATTTCAAGATTATAAATGTATTTTTTTCTATGTTGTTGGACAGAACCACAAAGACGTTCTCATTGTTGTTGATTCAGAGGATTATCAAGCTGTTTTAGAGTATCTCAAAGGAGGACAGAGCGACCAACAATTCCGCAGAAAACTTGCGTGGAAGGCTTTTCAGCATGTTGCTGCTTATGATTCCGCGGTTTCAGAATGGCTATGGAAGCAGACTGAAGGAAGTATGCTAAAAATAAACTTGTGTTCTAAAATCATGATATCTTGTCTGTCCACTGGCAATTGGCGACTTACATTGATTGATATTCATGGCTTTCGCAGAAGAGAAGTTCCCTCCCAGCTTTACAGTTCCGCTTTCACTTAAGAGTTCTCTTCGTTACGGTGAAAACCCTCATCAAAAGGCTGCATTTTATGTTGATAAGAGCCTTGCTGAAGTGAACGCTGGGGGTATTGCCACAGCGATTCAGCACCATGGAAAGGTAATAATTATGTACCTATCATAGTCGTAATTTGTAAAAGTATGTTACTTTCAGTTTTTGGTTTTGGTTGAATCTATCAGTAATCATTATCCTCACTTTTCCAGCCATAAGATAGTCCTTTTTTCTTTCTGTGAGCAGGAAATGTCATACAACAACTATCTTGATGCTGACGCTGCGTGGAATTGTGTGTCAGAATTTGAAAATCCGACATGTGTAGTCGTGAAGCACACAAATCCGTGTGGTGTGGCCTCTCGGGATGATATTCTTGAGGCTTACCGGCTAGCTGTAAAAGCTGACCCAGTTAGCGCCTTCGGTGGTATTGTAGCCTTCAATGTTGAAGTCGATGAGGTAAATAAACTGGTCTTGTCCCATAGTGTATTCAACTGTTTAGTGATCTGTTATATGTCTCTAGGTTCTGGCAAGGGAGATCCGAGAGTTCAGGAGCCCAACAGACGGAGAAACTAGAATGTTTTACGAGATCGTGGTTGCTCCAAAGTACACTGCTAAAGGTCTTGAAGTCCTCAAAGGGAAATCGAAAACTTTGAGGATCCTCGAAGCTAAAAAGAATGACCAAGGGAAGCTATCGCTCAGACAGGTTGGTGGCGGCTGGTTAGCTCAAGACTCAGACGACATAACTCCAGAAGACATCAGTTTCAGTTCTGTCTCAGAAAAAACTCCAACTGAAAGCGAATTTGCAGACGCTAAATTTGCCTGGCTTTGCGTTAAGCATGTCAAGAGCAATGCCATTGTGATAGCTAAGGTTGGGAGTTTTTTTCTCTCTGATTCCCTTTTCTTTTTCTGTTTCTATAAATTAATCTGATTGTTGGTTTCTTTGGGTGAAGAACAACTGTATGCTAGGGATGGGAAGCGGACAGCCAAACCGAGTAGAGAGTCTGAGAATAGCTTTCAGGAAAGCTGGTGAAGAAGCCAAAGGTGCTGCCTTGGCCAGTGATGCATTCTTCCCATTTGGTACTCTACTTCTTATTCTACATAAACCATTCTTCTGTTTGAAATGACTCATCCATCAAATCAACGGATTTGTTCTCCGATCTGAGTAGTACATTTGAAATAGTTAAAGATGAACCAGAAGGGCCAAAGCCTGTAATGCCGAAAATTCACTGGTATTGCAGAATGTTTTCTAAGTTTAGGTTTGTTTTTCTTGTATGAATCACAGCATGGAAAGATGCTGTGGAAGAGGCCTGCGAGAAGGGAATAGGAGTGATAGCAGAACCTGGAGGAAGTATTAGAGACCAAGACGCCATTGATTGCTGCAAAAAATATGGAGTCTCTCTGCTCTTCACCAACGTTAGACATTTCCGCCATTGATGATGGGATCATCAAATTTTGCTCTTATAAAACATCAAAGAGATTCTGAAGAAGAAAAACCCACCAAACAAAAAAAAAGTGGGAAATGTTGTAACAATAATTCGAGCTCGTTCGACTTTTTTGTATGATTAGAACATGAGATCTGTTTGGTCTGATAAATGTGTTCTTGAATTTGACAATTTGTTGACCCAAAAATCATATTTTTCTCAACACCCAAAAACTGAATTGGATGTGTATATATATCTATCCAACTCAAATTAGAGAGAGAAAGTCGACGACAGTGGATAGAGAAAGAGAGAGAAGAGAGATGGCGACAGGGAAAGTGGTGATAGAGAGAGTCGGAGGAAGATCTACGGCTACGAGTTGCTTCTCTAAGTATCCTCTTAAGTTCATACTTCCTGGCAAGGTCTCTCTCTCTCTCTCTCTCTATGAATTATCTATTCAAAGATTCAGTTGTTAGATTCCCGATAGTGAAAGGCGAAACTGAACTTATTTCAGGTAGCTCCTGCCGGAACTGACGTTGTCTGGATTTACAGCATCACCTATGGCGGCGGCATTGTCTCTGTATCTCCCTCCTTCTCTCTCTCTCTCCTGTCTCTCACTGAATTTGTCAATCGAATCAAACAAGTTCATGCTCAATTTATGATAGGGAGATTCGATTTCATGTGAATTCACCATTGATGATGGATGCACTGCAGTGCTTACAACGCAGTCTTCTACTAAGGTTGAATCAAACATTCTGTCCTTAAATTCAAATTAGGTCCTTTTTATCAATATCTCTTTGAATTGGATACTAATCCTACTTGGTTGATATTTTGGCGACTTGTATCTTGTGATTTATCATACAGGTATACAAGGCAATAGGATCAAAGTGTTCTGAACAAACACTGGAAGTAATGTTTCCCTCACATTTCTGCTAGAATCATTTGAGCTGTGCTGCAATAGAATAGGACCCTTTTCTTTGATTCCTGCTCCTGATTGATCTTTCCCGGTTTGTGATAGAAAGTGTTTTCATTTCGTTGTGTACAGTAGGCGAGAATCGGGAGTGAAGCTCTTTTGGTTGTGATTCCAGATCCAGTGACTTGCTTCTCCACTGCCCGTTACTATCAGAAACAGTTGTTTAGATTGGTTTCAGACTCTAATCTAGTTCTCGTGGACTGGATCACAAGCGGGCGTCACGCAAATGGTGAAAAATGGGATTTCGAGCTCTATAAGAGCATTAACAATATCTACCTGGAAGATGATGAACCTTTATTCCTTGACACAGTAATTACTAATCTCATACCCACTTTCAGATTTATAGAGAGAACTTTTTACCTTGACCAAGTAAATCCCTTCTTGCAAATCTTGTATGTAGTATCTATAGAACATTCATGACTGAGAGATTAGACCTTACTTTGGTAATGGTTTTGTTTACTGCAGGTGCTACTAGAGAAGAGGAGCATCCAAAGCATAGCCGAACGGATGCAAGACTATCAGGCCATAGCAATGGTCATACTCTTCGGGTAGAATTCGTGCTTTCTTCATGTACTAATACTTGAGAAGAGATAAGAGCACATATTATTATTCTCTATGAGAAAAAAAAATGGATATTTGCTTAATATGTTTGGCAATGGATCAAGGCCAAAGCTGGGGGAAATCCAAAAACAAGTCCAAGAAAACGTGAAGAATATGATGTCGGAACAGTTACAGATATCTTATGGTTCTCGGAGACACAATTCTGAGTCAAGCTCTCGAAGTGGCTTCATGAAACCAGAGTTCATAGCTTCCTGCAGTACTTTCGGCCCTGAGGTTAAATACCATGCTTTGTTTCCCACTCTCTAAAGACCTAAATTCTAATTTCTTACATCAATCAAGAAACCATATATTGGTCATATACTCGTATATTCATGGCTAGACTTACTGATCAATGTTGGTGTAAACTTTTGCAGGAAAAAGGAGTTGTGATTCGAATAGCTTCGGATTCTACAGAGTCAGTCTACAACTTCTTGAGGCAACAATTGGCTAAGCTGGAACCACTTCTTGGTCAATCTCCCTATGCTTGACTCTTTACTTTTCTTTTAAGTGATTCCCCAAAAAAAAAAAAAAAGAAAAAAAAAACAAAGATAATCCACTGAACCGAACAAATGGATGTTACAGTTGGGATTAAACCGAACGGAGCTTGTTTTTAATTAGTAGGGTTTATTGGAAAATTAGTGAGCCCTAGTGTTCTGGGTCTGTCTTCATCTTCTTCAAAGCATACATTTTTTTTGTTTTTCTCTCTCTGCAATTTTCTAGCTAATGCAATCTCGCGCATGGTCGCGGCTGAGAAGTTACTACATAAGAGCATCGGTACTACCCATATCAGACCATGTTAGATCCGAGCGACTATTTAATCTCGTACGTTCGATTTCGTCTTCCAGCCATTCCCGAATCCCAAGACCCGAATGGCTGATTAAGAAACTGTGCAAAGAAGGTCGAATCGCAGAGGCACGAAAGGTGTTCGACAGATTACCTCAGAGAGATGAGTACACATGGACTGATGTGATCACTGGTTATATTAAGCTTGGGAATATGAGAGAAGCTAGAGAACTGTTCGATAGAGCGGATGCTAGGAAAAATGTGGTGACTTGGACAGCCATGGTTAGTGGGTACTTGAGAGCTAAGCAGTTTTCTGCGGCTGAGATGCTTTTCCAAGAAATGCCAGAGAGAAATGAAGTTTCTTGGAATACTATGATTGATGGGTATGCTCAGAGCGGGAGAATCGATAAGGCCCTGGAGCTGTTTGATGAAATGCCTGAGAGAAACACTGTTTCTTGGAACACACTGATTAAAGCGTTGGCACAGCTTGGGAGGATACAAGAGGCAATGAATCTATTCGAAAGAATGCCTACAAGGGATGTCATTTCATGGACTGCTATGGTCGATGGATTGGGAAAGAACGGTAAGGTAGATGAAGCGAGACGAGTTTTCGATTGTATGCCTGAAAGAAACACCATTTCTTGGAATGCAATGATCACAGGTTATGCACATAACAATAGGATAGAAGAAGCTGACCAACTCTTTCAAGTGATGCCCGAAAGAAACTTTGCTTCATGGAATACGATGATCACAGGGTTTATACGGAACGGGGAAATAAACAGGGCATGTGGTTTATTCGATCGGATGCCTCAAAAGAATGTTATATCCTGGACCACGATGATTACAGGGTACGTGCAAAACAAAGAAAACGAAGATGCGCTGAAAGTTTTCTCAAATATGTTAAGGGATGGCTGTGTTAAGCCAAATGAAGGAACTTATGTGAGTATTTTAAGCGCATGTAGTGACATGGCTGGGCTTGTGGAAGGGCAGCAGATTCACCAGCTGATATCTAAGTCAGTCCACCAAAGGAACGAACTTGTGACTTCAGCGATTATTAACATGTACTCAAAGTGCGGTGAATTGATTGCCGCCAGGAAGATTTTCGATGCCGGGCTAGTAAGCCAAAGGGATTTAATATCATGGAACAGTATGATTGCGGTTTATGCACACCACGGACGTGGAAAAGAAGCAATTGAAATGTATGATCAGATGAGGAAACACGGTTTTAAACCAGGTGAGGTGACCTATCTGAACTTGCTATCTGCTTGCAGCCACGCCGGGTTGGTAGAGAAAGGAATGGAGTTCTTTGAGGAGCTCGTGAGAGATACGTCACTTTCTCTGCGAGAAGATCACTATACGTGTCTTGTGGATCTCTGTGGTCGAGCTGGTAGATTGAAAGATGTTTTGAAGTTCATCAACGGTGTCGATGCTAAGCCTTCGAAATCTGTCTATGGAGCGCTCTTATCCGCTTGTAAAGTACACGGGGAAGTGAGTATAGCTAAGGAGGTAGTGAAGAAGGTTTTAGAAACAGGTTCGGATGATGCTGGAACTTATGTAATGATGTCTAATATATACGCGGCGAGTGGTAAAACGGTGGAAGCTGCATTAATGAGAATGAAGATGAAAGAGAGAGGGCTAAAGAAACCGCCGGGTTGCAGTTGGATTGAGATCGGGAAGCAGAAGCATAATTTTGTAGTTGGAGATTTGTCTCATCCTCGGTTTGAAGCTCTTGATTGGGTAGTATCTGTTCTTAACAACAAAATGAGGAAGAACAAGAACATGACTTCAGAAGCGGAAGAATATGAGCTCTTGTGTATTTGAATTCCTTTCTGCATACGGGAGAGTACTTTATCATTTTTTCCGTCTGATTTGATAGTTTAACATACTGAATATTCTCCCATTCATTGTTCTTGGTTATATAAACCTGTTGGGTGTGTCAGGTTTTGTTATTGTTCCAATAAAGAAGAGTATAACATATCCAGCATTGAAAGAGACTACTATCGACTACATCCCTCTCTCCTGCCCGATTAAGTTCATATATGGAGAACAAACTCAACAACAAAAACAGAAACAAAAGAGAAACAAACCAAAAAACAGAAACAAAGAAGATGGTCAAAGAAAAAAAAAAATCAGAGGGAGATCTCACATGGTGCGTGAAACGTTCTTCCCCTACAAATGGCTTCTAGATTTTCTCCCGCGTACGAGCACAGCGGTGACACTTCCACACCTGTTTTAAGTTATGATCGTTACATAGCAATGCTCAATCTACATTTCCTTTTGCCTTTCGTTTGGATTTTTCAGTTTAGAAATATAACACACTGTATTGGAACCAAACTCGGTTCCGTTTGATTAGATTTTTAATTGAAGTTGGGGCGTCAGTTGTTTTTCCGTTTAATTTAGTAAAGAAAACAAATGAAGATATGAGTTAAATAGATGTTTACCAGTTGCATATAAAGGAACGGAATGTGTTAGAAATCCACCAGCAGCTATGACCCAACGTGTGTGCAGCCGCAGAACCAAAAGTCTCGCGCTTTCTGGCGTGTCGAAGTTCGACCCGTTTGCATTCTTCACCGGTGCAAATTCTTCCTCCCTCAACACCTGCAAAGGCAAGAAAACACGCAGAAACAAAACAAAAAAATTGTAATCTTTTACAATTAACTGAACGCAAGTATCGGTTTTGATGGTTTTCATAAGATACCTCGAAGAGTGCAGTTGAAGGAGCATACGGAAAGCAATCAAATATGAACTGTTCTAATTTCACTCCCTCTGTGAAGCCATTTATAGACGGTATCTTCTTCTCTGCCACATGGTAACTGCAAGAGTTCTAATATCAGATATTATGAATATGTTAAATATTTTCGTATATATTGCAGGATATGATTACAGTAGAAGCATCTCTCACACGCTGTCTTTTTCCAGCCCATTCGCAACTTGATTAAGGAAATCCAGAGTGAACATGTGTAAGCACACCTGTAAGGGAAACATCGTTTTCTACTTACATTAGAAACTCAAACACATGAAAGTTTAATAAAAACACTCACTGTCTTTGCAGATCCGAAAAAAAAAATGATAGTAGTATAACTTCGAAAGCATGTGAAAGAGAGAGAAGTTTACGTTACTCCAGCAGAATTGAAGACGTCCGGTTTGTTGATTAGTTGCAGAAGCCATAGACTGGTCCAGCTCTGTGTACTCTACTACAGTCAGAGGTCCACCTTTCCCCCTCCTTACAAAGACGCCCACCTTTTCCTGTGGATACGCCTGTTTTTCATGACAACAAAGCTTCCCGCTTAAAACTTGACTGTGATTTGTCCCAGGATAAAGTAATAGCAAAAAGGTAAAATTAAATCTAAAATAGCGTATTGAACAAATTAATTAGAGAGGTATCTGAAAACCTTGCGCACTACTTTTGCAGCAGAAGCTGCACCTTTGTCGATGAAGTATCCCAGAAAGGACGGATCAGCTACTCGAACCTGCTTTCCAAGATTTCTGTTTGTTGTTCTTATAGTCGAAAAGAATAGAGAAATTACGTGATAAAATACTTGAAAGCACTGAAAGAGCTAACCAGAACATTGTCAACACCATAGCAGTCCACATACTTAATCCCCTTGGAAGCCATATCTTCTAATAACCTTGAAGACTTTAGAGCTGAAAAAACATACATAACTTTCTGATCAGAATCAGAAAATTCTGGAAATACTATTTCCAATAACTAAAGCAGAAGCTCTAGAGGATAAATACCTGCATAAACTCCCCCATTCCCATCCGGAGCCTTGGCTAGCTAGTCACATAGAATGAACGTCATAAGGTTAGTGTCTTAAGGATAAAGAAGTAACTGACTATAAACCTCAAGAGCCAGCGTCTAAGTAGCTTGTTTTGAAGACACATACACTATAAGGTGTCTCCATGATAAACTTTCCATCCTTCGTAACGCAAGGTAGGGTTCCTTGTTGGAAAAATGTGACCTACAAAGAGCGGGATCGACATTGGTCTCGGAACAAAACGAAGGAAACAATAGACATGAAGCGAAAACGATATAAACTAGAAGCCTCTTACCTGATCTGGCTCAAGGCCAAAATACTTGTGACTCTCGAAGAATTTTTGTGTTGGCTCGTGAGTAAATGGACTTGTCATTATATACCAGTGTATTGTAACTGGGCGAGTTGGACCTGTTGCAGGACAAACGTTATTTGAAACAAGGTATCGAAAAATGGTATAGTTGTACGGATAAATAGGATGTAGAGTTCTGAACTTTACCCTCACTCATTGCCTGAGCAGCAAGCCTTTGGACACACAAGATCCTCTCAGCTTGAATCTGAAAAAGTGACTTTCCGGATGGCAGTCCGATATCTGAGATGATAAAACTATTATGGTAAGGTAACAAACTAAACCGGTAACAGTCAAAACAAGTCATGTTATAGAATGTTGCATTCGCTAAATCAGAAGAATCTAAACTTGCGAAGGCAATTTGCAACAGTGTATAGAAGATGGACAGCAGAAAAAAACAAAACTGAAATGAGAAATACTCACTATAACACCCTTTCGGATCTGAACTTCCAAGTCTTGTTCCCTGCAATTATTTTTGTAACCAGATCATTTCATGAGCATTTCTGTTGATGGACGTACTAACAAACACTAAAATGTGCATTGATGTGGTAACTAAAATCTATTCGAAAGTAGTCTTATCCAAGTCTCGTTAAATTGGCCAACTCATCATACAATTGCAGGTGATAACACTTCCTTGTGGATATTCAGATTGATGAAGGTATTAAATGCTGAAATAAATGAAATCAATGTAAATTGGGAAAGAAGATTACAGGATCCTATAAAGCATCTTTCAGGTCACGTGATAACCATTCTTTTTCATTATTAGGTACTCAGATATCTAGAAGAAGGCACCGACGGGTTAGATTTTATTAAAGAACTCATGATTACTCATGTAAATGCCTTTATGGCCTCTTTAGAGAAACCGCACTTATCAAAATAAATCATTTCAGACCCAAGCTTTAGCAATTATTTAAGATAAATGCATTATTTGAGTATGTAGCAAGCATTATTTCAAAATCATCTCCAACCATAATCCGAGAATCATTAAAATCTTCTCACCAATACACTGAGTGCCTGATTAGAACTTAACTAACCCAAGAAAAAGGTAAAATCAAAGAGTATGACCCAGAGAGACAGATCAATGTTTTATATTCAAAGCAACACAATACTCAAGAAAACAAATAATTAAAGTACCTGTCCACCAGATAAAAGCAACACACCCAATTTCCCTTCATAGATCGCCTTCAATCCCATTTTCCACCATTTTTCTCTTTCTTCCTTTGTTCTTTCCTCCACCGTTGACACACAACTCTCCGGCGGTGCCTCTATTGCCGCCGCTGGCAACCCTAATGAGGTGAAAACAGAGTTCCAATTAGATATCCATGAAGGAAAATACAGAAACGAACTGACTATATATGCATGTCAAGAGGCTGCAACGAGAAGGTAAACAGAGGTCAATAGATAAAACCTTGAGAGTGAAGTGAGCGTCTGATGATCCGATCTATTCTTGGAAGATCCAAATTCTGAAAGACAATAACACATCACACTTCAATAATCTAATCAAATACGAAATCGAGCCAATGATTCACATTATTTTGCAGAAAAAAAAACACTACAAAACTTCAGCTAATTAGCTGAATAGAGAATGCTCTAACGAAATCTGGAATTGTGTCATTGACGATTTACCTCGATATCTCTGAGGAGGAGATCTCGCTCTTCCGATGAGAGTTCTTCCCAGAGAGCGAAAACATCTTCCTGTCCATAATCCTTGAGCCTTTCCACCAACGCCTGATGAGATGACGCCGTCGACGGAGGAAGAGGCAGCATCGTCGTCTCAGCCGCAGTTCCAATCGCTATCTCCGTTGTTGGCTCCTTCATGATCGTCGTCTATCGACGTAATTCTCAGTCCAAATGAATCTTCTATTCGTTGTTTGGTTTTATAGCACCGAAAGGAAGATACGCGAGAAGAAGGAATACAAAGAATCAAATTAATCAAAGAGTAATAGCATTAGTAAATGACCATAAAACCCTTCTTCCTAGTCTGCTTCATTCGTCAAGAGTCCTACGACAATTTTGTTGGCCTAACTCTGAAATTAACTTTCAATCCTCTGACATTTCCATACACAACTAAGCATATACCTTTTTACTGTAATTCGGATAAGAAAACAAAAAAATATCTGTATATCGCCGAATTAAAATGATAATAAGAGCTGCCTGGTAAATAAATTGGGAGAATATTATAATTTGAACAAAGATTTTGATTTATCAAAATAAATTTCATTAGATAGAGCTTAAACATAATTCATTTTAATGAAATGCTCCCAATTTGGACAACTATTCAACACGTCGCTATGTAGAATGGATTGGTCTTCACTTATAGAGCTGTTCCATGAGATTCTTCAGCTTAGTGACATCTGCACCCACGACCTCGGCTTTCTTCGAGCCTTCTTTGAAGAACTGCAGTGTTGGCTGCATCATAAACGTCCATGAGATTGATATAAAAGAAAAATGCTCATTTCAACATGAGTTATTCCGCTGATTGTTCAAAGTAGATTATGTTTTGGAAAGAAAGAGTAATGAAGCTCACCACAGCCGCGATATTCAACTTGCTAATAGTGTTTGAAAGACCGCCCTACAAATACGAAGGAAACGATATCTTTGTTAACTAGGCTTTTAAGCGGACATTTATGAGAAGAGAAGATCGTGCAAAGAGCGAAAAGGAAGCTCAAAAACTGTATCAAAATTATTCGCTAACTCAATCACATAGAGGGGTATATACAACATTGACAAACAGAGTGTGGCGACTCAGGTTCTATACAGTACACACCAAATAAACTTATCCTTTGGTTAAAGCTCGGAACAATGTAATCACAAATACCCAAAGAAAATAGACATATATGCATGGAGTTAAAAAGCACAACATTTTAACATACCTCATCAATGTCGACTTTATACGTTGTTACATCAGGATACTGTTTACTGAGCTCCACGATTACAGGGGCGATAAACCTGCCTGAAGTCAAATGAAACACCAACTAATAAAGCCACTCTCAATGAAGATATTTACGGAGAACCAAGCTCACTTTCTAAAGAAATAATAACATACATGGTCCACACCAGGCGGCAGTGAAATAGAAGACTGACGGTAAAGATCCATCTGAATACAGATAACGTAGAGATTTGAGAGACAACATAAGCAACGAATTCACTTAGTGTGAAGTTAGTAAGAAGCTAAAACGCATCCCATGATGTTTTACCTTGAGCTTTGCTCAATGCATTGATGAACTCTTCCTCTGATTTCACTATAACAACACCATTTTCACCTATAATCGAAATTGCAGGGCCATGTTAACTTCTGACAAAGAAACGTTTATTTGATTACCATACAAGACTCCAGCATTATAAGCCCAAGCTAATTTCTCTGATCAATCTCGTCGTTATTCAACCAAAAAACGAAGCCTAGATCATATACTCGGTGCAATGTCAGATAAACACACATGAAGTAGCAGAACAAATTGAGCAATTACCTCCCGGTGCCGAACAGAGGCTTCTCCGGCGGGGAAGGGAAGTGTTGGAGATGTTAAACTCGACGGAAGCGCCAAAGGTGGAGGCAGAAAACAACGAGTTTCTATAGATCTGTGAAGGAATCGAGTTTGGGGCCAAAATAGCCGATTGGGCGGAACTGGACAACGCGGAGGGTCGCGACGAGAGTGTCGACGACGACCGGAGGGTGGAGAAGCGGCGCTGCAAAAACTGACGGACGATCGACAAATTTCCCTTCATATTCGCAGGTTAATTGATGAACACTCGAGCTTTTAGATGATTTAGGGTTTTTCGAAATCCGATTGTAAAGGTTTGGTATTTCCTCTTTGTTTCAGCTTCTCTTCCCGTCGCTCCGGGAAACTTGAAAGAAAAAGTTTGGTAAATTCAATTTGCAAAATGACCAACATAAAATTAATGAATTCTAAATCAGCCCAAAATAAAGACGTTCTTAGTTTATACCCAAAAAACGATGTCTTTCTTTAACCAAACGATGACTAAGATTTTGGATGGTGTCCATTGTCTGTTTTGTGGGCTCAATTGCTCCGAATGACTCCATGTTTTATCAATGTGTATATTTAGTCCAGATCAAATCCGAGTTAAGAATAAAAAATTAAGAGGTTTTATAACAAATTTATGACATTGTATGTAAGTCAACGATGATGATGGCGATGTACATAGAATGATTGGATTTTCAATGGTATTTTTGTTCTTTCTTTCTAAATTTTATCAAATCAACGATATGTGTTGTCACGACGTACCTCATACTCAATTGATTATTTTACCTTTGTTGGAAGCCAAAAATTATTACTAGATGCCTACCACCATACGACTGAAACTTAAATACCAAAAAACTACAAACACATGAAAATTATCATCATCTATAACTAGATAAGATCTTCTAAAATAATATATAGAGATATAAGTAAAAGAAAAAAGCTTTAAACCTTCAAATGTTTAGCTATTAATGGTTTATTGTCAAAAATCTTGCAATTAATTATAAAATCAGGTAAATCTTTTTTACTAATAAGAAAAATCTATATTTTCTTTGGTCAAGAACAAAAAACTATTTTAAGACATTTTAATGGATGTGAGTAAACATTTATTTTCTTAAGTCCTTTTTAAAAGAGTTAAAGTTTCAGATTGAGATTTATCACCATTTAATTATTGTGATCAGTAATAATTATTATGAGATTCTCTATTCATTTGGAAATTGAAATAGATATGGTCACCACGCACCAGTAATTATATGATGCATATTGGTGTTGTTTCCTAGGTGTTAAAAGTTACAAAAAGTTACATCAGACTTCTTCAAAGTCAAAGTTGTGAACAGGTCAAATAAATTCCCTTTTAATAAAATAAAAGGGGTGCTATGATCCACAGTGACGCAGGCCACTTTTACACCACCGTGGATTTCATAATCAGACGTTGACTCTATCTCCCCCACCTTATATTTTCACACCAAAACCTTTTCTCCTCAATTTTCATACGATGATCTTCATATGGCGATCCTCGACACAAACTCCAGCCGTTGGATCCTCTTGTTCTTGCTCTTCCTCCATTACGCACCGTACGGATCCGGTCAGACCACACCGCCTGTACCGCAAACGAAAGCCAACGACCCAGTTGTTATAGTGATCACGGTTATGTTCTTCGTCATCTTCGTCATGGTCTTCGGTTCCATCTTCTGCCGTCGAAGCACGGCGTCGTTTTACCCGCGGCCTTCAAATTTCCGATCCACCGACGCCGACGCCGAAGCCCGCATGGTCAGAATCAGGAGGTCGGCGGCGCGTGGACTCAACGCCGAGACCATCGAGTCGTTTCCGACGTTTGTCTACTCGGAAGTGAAGGCGGTGAGGATCGGGAAAGGAGGCGTCGAGTGTGCGGTTTGTCTCTGCGAATTCGATGACGACGAAACGCTGCGTTTGATGCCTCCTTGTTGCCACGTGTTTCACGCCGATTGCGTCGACGTCTGGCTCTCCGATCACTCCACGTGTCCTCTCTGTAGAGCGGACCTCGTCCTGCAACAAGAGCGTGGTGATACTGATAGCTACTTGGTTTCGGATCCGGGTACGGTTTCGTCGGGTTCGGATCGTGAGAGAGGGGTTTTGGAATCATCGGACGCGCATTTGCTGGACGGAGTGACGTGGACGAATAGCAACACAACGCCTCGGTCAAAGTCAACGGGATTGGCCAGCTGGCGAATCACCGGAATCTTGTTCCCGAGATCTCACTCGACCGGTCATTCGCTGGTTCAACCGACAGGGGATCTCGACCGGTTTACGCTGAGGTTACCGGATGATGTACGGAGGCAACTGACGAAGACGATGACGATTAGACACGTGGCGTTACCTCAGGCGAGGAGTTCAAGGAGCGGTTACAGAAGCGGTAGCGTCGGGAGCGAGAGAGGCGTTTACTCGTACGGGAGGAAGATGCGGCTGCATTCGCTCTCTTTCTCCTTCTCTTTCCGGAGTGGTTCCGTACGGTCTGCTTTCGGCGGTGATGCGGTGGCTCCGCCGAAAAATTTTCCGGCATCAAGTGAATATGGTGAACGGTCTTTCGAACGGCTCCGACCAGATGAACGAGTGTAAATAAGATTTTTTTTTGTTTTTTTTCTAACCTATTCAATTGTTTTTTGTGATTTAATGTTACGCCTCTTGTTTGGTTTTTGATATTTGAGGATGACCAACAAACATGACAATTATTTTTTGTCAAAAAAAAAAAATCGTTTGAAAATTGTCAGTTTCCGAAAATAAAAACAATGCATGTGTGAGAGATTGTGAATTATTGAAATGTAGCATACAACAAGTGAACTCTTTTATTTATTTTTAAAGCTTATTTCACCAATACATAAAATGTAACTCCAGTGACTTATAAAAAACACTTCACGAATTTGATGAGATATCAGTTCAATTCACTTAAAACATTTTGAAGCTCGGATAATATCTAACCAGAATAGAGTAGCTAATTGCTACAATTCTATTCAGAAAAGCTTCTATTGTTTTTACCTAGCCTCCATGAGGATTAACATAATTATCTGATACCAATTTGAATGTCGAAAGCTTTTATGTAAGGCTTAACACTCTTGTTTACCATTTATAATATTTATGTCTAAAAAGGTGGTCGTGGCTAAATCATCAAAGAGATATAAGTGAGAAACCTATCGACTATCGACTATACCTTCCTCAAATTTAAATTTTATTTTTCAGTTTGTAAGATTAACAATCCTCTGAGCTTATTCATGTTATACAACTGATTTCCGTTGATTTGGACCAGCTATTAGATGCCGCCAATCTCAAGAATTTTCCCATCTCTTATAAATCACTGCTCCTACTACCAGCAACCATTGTGATTGGACTTCTAATCATGCAGTTGAAGAAGTGGTTGGACAGAATGATCATTCAGAAATTTCATGCACATCACCCAAGGAGATATGAATTAGGTTAATGTCAAAGCAGAAAAACAGTTTCATAGATTCTACAACACAGTGGAGGCGCTTAATGTGGATTTGGCCATTCTTTACTTTGACAAGGTAGTACAGCCGCTATCTTTCATCTCTCTACTAAACTATATGATTGAAAAGATGTCAAAGCTGAAATACTTTCTACTTTCTAGTATTTCAATTGAACACCCTTTAGCACACACACATACAAAAAAAAAATATTGGTCATATATTGTACAACTATTTTCTAACAAAACAGAATAAATGTACTCTTGTTATGAGATCAAATAATGCATGAGATTTTTTCATTTGATTATACTTGTAAATGTTTTTAATACTAAAATTTTTTTTTGTCATCTTTTTGATTAACAAACTTAAAGTTACCAATTGCTTACAATATTTTAAGAGATTATAGAACGCACACATTTAGTTCTAACTTCTTTAGCTAAACGATCAGAATCATGGTTTACAACATGATACGATCCGAGGAGATCAACTCTGAAGATAAGGCAACAGGCGAATTCGAGATCGTGACTTGGAGGGATGGATGCGATGATATTGGTGTGATGAAGTGATGGTGGCGCGATGAGAGATCGATGGAGGGAGATGGTGGTGTGATGCGGCGGATCGATGGTTTGAGATGGTGGTTGATGGATTCGTCGATGGATCGTGAGAGGGATGTGATGGTGATAGCAGAATCTCTTGTAAACAGATTAGTTTTAAGAGATTCGAATTTCAGAGTTTTTAGTTCTCAGAAATCGAAAAGAGAGAAGAACACGTTAAAAGTTTGATCAAAATTCTTCACTGAATATGACATAGGCGATTTTCTCTTTTTTATAGACTAAGAGAGAAAATCGCAGCCCTAATAACAAAACAACATGGAGTTGGAAATAAAACAACAAGAAGTTTAATTTGAAAATAAAACAGCGAGGCGTCCCTTCTAAACCTAAGTGGTGCGCCTAAACAACTAGTGCATAAGTCATTGTGACTTAGCACGTTATTACCCATTAGTAACAACTTCTAAGTAACTCGACGTAGCAATGATTTCTGCCTCGTTAAAAACCTTGGAGAAGAACCTCCTTGCCTTCCAAAATCCTCACCAAGGAAAATAGTACAGAATCATCACCTAAGTTACCTAGTCATTGTTACTGGGTTCTTCATTCTTCAAGATAGAGATGTTGAAGATGTGAGCTCCAGCCTCCTGGTGATCGCTGTCCTCCGTGGCAATGAGTGCGTGAGCCTCCTTAGCCATCTCTCTAGCTCTGGAACGAGTGATCCTGCCAGCTACCTCTGGTTCCTCCTCCTCTGAGCTGGTCACAATCATATCATCCTCTCCCTCTTGAAAAGGATTTGCCCTCAAATCTGAATCTGCAACAAAAGGAAGCAAGTCAGAAACATTGAAAGTATCAGAAACATCATACTTACCTTGAAGATCAATCTGATAGGCGTTGTTGTTGATTCTTTTGATGACTGCGAATGGTCCATCAACTCTGGGCATTAGCTTGTTCTTTCGCTCAGCTGGAAATCGCTCCTTCCTCAGATGGATCCACACCAGATCTCCTTCTTCGAAAATCAGTTCCTTTCGCCCTTTGTTGGCATGTTTCTCATACTGCTTTGTCTTCTTCTCGATGTTCTCCTTAGCCTTAGCATGTATTCTTCGGACCTGTTCAGCTTTCTCCTTGCCATTCAAGCTGCATTTTCCACTTAAAGGCAAAGGGATCAAGTCTAGAGGTGATTGTGGATTAAACCCATATACAATTTCAAAAGGAGAAAAGAGAGTAGCAGAATGCTTAGCGTGATTGTAAGCAAACTCGACATGAGGCAGGCACTCTTCCCATGTCTTGAGGTTACTTTTCACCAAAGTCCTTAGAAGTGTAGACAACGTTCTATTCACCACCTCGGTTTGTCCATCGGTCTGAGGATGACACGTAGTTGAGAATGAGAGCTTTGTTCCCAGCTTAGCCCAAAGCGTTCGCCAAAAGTGTCCTAAGAACTTCGTGTCTCGATCTGAAACGATAACCTGTGGCATTCCATGCAGTCGTACTACTTCCCTGAAAAACAAGTTAGCTACATTCACAGCATCATCTGTCTTGTGGCTAGCGATGAAGTGAGCCATCTTGCTAAACCTGTCAACAACTACAAAAATAGAATCTCTACCATTTCTGGTGCGAGGTAAGCCAACTACAAAATCCATAGAGATATTAGTCCAAGGTTGAGAAGGAATAGGCAAAGGAGTATACAAACCGTGAGGCTGAACTTTACTCTTAGCCATCTTACATACGACACATCTAGAGCAGATTTTCTCAACGTCCTTCTTCATGTTCGGCCAGTAGAAGTGCTCTTGTAGCCCAAGAAGTGTCTTTGTGACACCGAAATGTCCAGCTAATCCACCTCCATGAGCTTCTCGTACCAGTAACTCTCGAATGGATCCTCGTGGTATGCACAATCGGTTACTGAAGAACAAGTATCCATCCTGTCTATAAAATTTCTCACAGGCAAACTTATGACATTTGGCATAGCTCTCAGAAAAGTCAGTGTCAGATTCATAAAGATCTATAATATGCTCAAATCCAATCAACTTTGATGTTAAAGTCGAAATAAGAGTGTACCTCCGGGATAATGCGTCTGCGACCACATTATCTTTACCTTTTTTGTACTTAACAATGTAGGGGAATGTCTCAATGAACTCCATCCATCGCCCATGTCTTTTGTTAAGTTTCTGCTGACCCTTGAGGTGCTTTAGAGACTCGTGATCGGTATGAATGACGAATTCCTTAGGCCATAAGTAATGCTGCCACGTCTGGAGAGCTCGAACCAATGCGTATAACTCCTTGTCATACGTGGGATAATTCAGCGTTGATCCTCCTAACTTTTCGCTGAAGTAAGCGACGGGCTTCTTATCCTGCATAAGAACTGCTCCAATACCTACACCAGAAGCATCGCATTCAATCTCAAAAGTCTTAGTAAAATCAGGAAGTACTAGTAAGGGCGAATTGATAAGCTTCTCTTTAAGGGCTGTAAAAGCCTGTTCTTGCGCCTCTCCCCACTTGAACCCCACGTCTTTCTTGATTACTTCGGTTAAAGGCGCGGCTATGGTGCTGAAATCACGAACAAAAAACCTGTAGAATCCTACTAAGCCATGGAAACTTCGGACTTCTCCAATATTCTTGGGGGTTGGCCACTCCTTGATAGCTTTTATCTTCTCTTCATCTACTTTAACTCCTCCTGCACTTACTACAAAGCCTAAGAAAACAATCTCGTTAGTGCAGAATGAACATTTAGATAAATTAGCAAAGAGAGATTGAGAGCGAAGAACATCAAGAACCGATCTGATGTGATCTAGATGTTCTTCCAAACCTTTACTGTAGATGAGGATATCGTCGAAATAAACCACTACGAACACGCCAATGAATGGTCTCAGGGCATGGTTCATTAGTCTCATGAAGGTGCTGGGAGCATTGGTGAGGCCAAACGGCATAACTAGCCACTCGTAGAGTCCCTGCTTTGTCTTGAATGCCGTTTTCCACTCATCCCCTTCCTTCATTCTGATCTGATGATATCCACTCTTCAAGTCGATCTTAGAGAAGATTGTCGACCCACAGAGCTCATCCAGCATATCATCTAGCCTTGGGATCGGATGCCGATACTTCACAGTGATGTTGTTGATAGCTCGGCAGTCTACACACATCCTCCAGGAACCATCCTTCTTTGGCACCAACAGAACTGGAACCGCACATGGACTCAAGCTTTCTCGGATATGACCTTTGCTCATCAGCTCCTCCACTTGCTTTTGCAGCTCCTTAGTCTCTACAGGGTTGGTTCGGTATGCTGGCCTGTTAGGTAAGGCTGATCCTGGTACCAAGTCAATCTGATGCTCTATCCCGCGAATTGGAGGTAGCCATGGAGGAATTTCTACTGGAAAAACGTCCTTGTATTCCTGCAAAATCTCAAACATAGCACTAGGAAGCTCCTGTGAAGGGTTAGTACTAACAAGGGATTCCTTGTACACAAACATAAAAGTAGTCATTTCAGGATCAAAGAGTTTAGAAAATTCACTGTGGTTTATGTAGAGGCTGTTGGCGACTTTCTCCTTCTCCTTGAGCTTCATTTGAACTTGATCTTGATAAATCTCGGTAGGCGTGAGAGGTAGGAGGGTAATTTTGTGACCTTTGAACTCGAATGAGTGCTTGTTGGTGTAACCGTCGTGTATCACCCTACGATCTGATTGCCACGGTCTGCCTAGCAACACATGACTCGAACCCATGGGAATGACGTCACATAGAATCTCATCTTCATACTTCCCAATGGATAGAGAAACCATCACTTGCTGAGATACGGTCAAGGCTCCACTGTCATTCAACCAGTGAAGCTTATACGGCCTTGGATGAGGAATAGTCTTGAGCTGGAGCTTCTTAACCATCTCTTTGCTTGCAGCATTAGTACAACTTCCTCCATCTATGATCAGGCTACAAACTTTTCCTTGAATGAAGCATCTCGTATGGAACAGGTTCTCTCGCTGACAAGTCTCTTCAGGTTGACTCTGAACACTCAAAGTCCTTCTGGCAACCAGCATCTCGCCCACAGCAGCAGCTTCTTCCTCTTCCTCTAATTCATATTCGGCCTCTGAATCCTCTTGACGAACTATCTCTCCTCCCTCATGTAACAAGAAAACCTTCTTGTTTAGGCAATCTCGAGAGTAATGTCCCATTCCTTGACATTTGAAACACCTCACATTGCTGATAGAAGTGCCACCTCGAGGCTTGAACTCAGCTTTAGCTTCTTCTTTAAGTCCAGTGGAGGGTTGTTTGATGTCTCTGGAGTAAGCTGGCTTGCTGATCTCCTTAGGCTTCGGCACACTAGGCGTAAATGTGGACTTGAAATTTCGCCGCTTGACTTGAGATTCCACCAATTCAGCCTTATGCACCATCTCTTGTATATCTGTGAAATCCTGAAGTTCCACCTTGTCTTGAATTTCTCGGTTAAGTCCTCCAAGAAATCTCGACATTACCATCTCTTCGCCTTCTCGTAAATCTGCACGAATGACCAAAGTTTCCAATTCTTGATAATAATCTCGAACAGACTTCGTACCTTGGACAAGGCGCCTAAGTTTGTTGAGTATCTCGCGCTGATGATGGGCTGGAACGAACCGCTTCCTCATCTGTATAACAAGCTGATCCCAAGTAGTAATCGGAAGTTCCCTCAGGCGATTTCTGGTGACTCCCAACTGCTCCCACCATAGAAGCGCGTACCCATGAAATTCTGAGACTGCAATCTTCACCTTGTTGAGCTCATAAGTTCCTTGGACCAGAAAATTAGACTCCATCTTCCTTTCCCAATCTAGATAAGCTTCGGGATCATTGGTTCCATGGAAAGGAGGATACTGGATTTTGATATGACGCAGCTGCTGACGTGGAGGATCATAATCTCGAGCATGTCCTCGGCCTCGATCTCGTCTCACAGTTTCTCTGCTATGATCAGAGGCTTCGTCCTCCTCATAGTATTCTGGATCTGATTCCAGGGTAACTCTATGTCCAGCAATATATTCCTCTCGGCGGTGCTGACGATCTACCCTTGGGCCATCTCGTTCTGCACCAGTAGGATTCCTCCTCGGATTAAACGTAGTCTCTCTGCCCCCAATCTGGCTTCGACTGGACTTAGCTTTAGTCCTGGCTTCGGAAGGTGTTGGGTGGCGTGGAAGTTTCCGGGAAGATCCTATGTGCCCTTTACCCTTTGCTAAGCGCATTGCTTCCGAAGGAGTTGGAGTTTGAGACGACTCTTCTCCACTTGCACTGAGGTCTTTGAGCAGATCAGTCATCTTCGTCTCGAACTTGTCATTGAGTTGTTCGATTTGTTGTGTGAGCTGAGTTGCTATGGCCTGATTCGCTTCTTTAATTTGTTGAGACATTGCTCGGTTCAGAGCTTCCATCGCCTCAGCCGAAAGCTCCATGGTACCTGAAAATTTAAAAAAAAAAAACTCGCAGTAACTTGTTCTAGAAGAAATCACAAAAACAGCAAAACTAAACTCATCATAAAAAAAAAATTAAAAGATCCCCACGAAATCTAAAAACAAACTTAACGAAACTAATGAAATTTAACAAAAATTTTTTTTTTTGTGTACTCTTTTTTTTTTTTTTTTTTTTTTTTTTAATCAAACGAACGAAGAAAAACGAAGACTCACTTAATAGACCTAAACGAAGACGAAAATACTAGACTCTCTAACAAAACCTAACAAAAACGAAGCAACTAAATATCAAGTTTAACGAAAACGAGAACAATCAAAGCCCTAAACTCGATGTACCAGACCTAACGAATACGATGAACACGAAATATCAAACTTGACTAAATCGAAAATTAATGAACCCTAACACGATCTCGCAAACTCGATTTGAAGCAATAACTAACAACGATATGATGATTCAATAAAGCAGAAGACACACGATGCAAATAATCACTAGAAGTCGTCAAACCCTAATGATCTAAGCAGCGAAATCAGAACAAGGAATCAAATCAAGTATGGCGATTTTAGGGTTAGAGATTTCTCAGCCTTTGGTTCAGAGTTGGCTCTGATACCACGTGATACGATCCGAGGAGATCAACTCTGAAGATAAGGCAACAGGCGAATTCGAGATCGTGACTTGGAGGGATGGATGCGATAATATTGGTGTGATGAAGTGATGGTGGCGCGATGAGAGATCGATGGAGGGAGATGGTGGTGTGATGCGGCGGATCGATGGTTTGAGATGGTGGTTGATGGATTCGTCGATGGATCGTGAGAGGGATGTGATGGTGATAGCAGAATCTCTTGTAAACAGATTAGTTTTAAGAGATTCGAATTTCAGAGTTTTTAGTTCTCATAAATCGAAAAGAGAGAAGAACACGTTAAAAGTTTGATCAAAATTCTTCACTGAATATGACATAGGTGATTTTCTCTTTTTTATAGACTAAGAGAGAAAATCGCAGCCCTAATAACAAAACAACATGGAGTTGGAAATAAAACAACAAGAAGTTTAATTTGAAAATAAAACAGCGAGGCGTCCCTTCTAAACCTAAGTGGTGCGCCTAAACAACTAGTGCATAAGTCATTGTGACTTAGCACGTTATTACCCATTAGTAACAACTTCTAAGTAACTCGACGTAGCAATGATTTCTGCCTCGTTAAAAACCTTGGAGAAAAACCTCCTTGCCTTCCAAAATCCTCACCAAGGAAAAGAGTACAGAATCATCACCTAAGTTACCTAGTCATTGTTACTGGGTTCTTCATTCTTCAAGATAGAGATGTTGAAGATGTGAGCTCCAGCCTCCTGGTGATCGCTGTCCTCCGTGGCAATGAGTGCGTGAGCCTCCTTAGCCATCTCTCTAGCTCTGGAACGAGTGATCCTGCCAGCTACCTCTGGTTCCTCCTCCTCTGAGCTGGTCACGATCATATCACAACATGTGATATATGCACGAAATTCCTTGTACCATTTCTGCATGCAAGCCAACTTCTTAATGCCTTGGAGATAGATTGAAATTCGGGAATGATCTTGCTTCTTGATTATGTGGCTGTGGCAGAATGACATGTGATCAGATAGATGACTTTAAACAAGTTTGCAGCGTCTACACAAAACATTACATTCTTGTACCCGAGACGTCCCACATATAGCATTATTATACTAAAACATTAAAACTTATTATAAGATTTTAGTTTTTAATGATAAATAAATGGCATGTATTCCAAAAATCATCTGATCCGACACAGTTTAAAATTATTCCATCTTATATGCGTGAAAGAGAGATTATCGAATTGGTTATATAATAATATTGATCTTTGATTTACTGCAGTTTGTCAGATATGGCTCGGGTATTCATTTTAGAATTAAAACGTTAAGATTAAAAAAAAAAAAAAAATTGTAGAGCCATTATAATGAGCGTAAGCTTTTTCATATCTTTTAACTTTAAAGTCAGGGTAAGTTTTCTGATGAATTTTTTTACTTTCATTCCAATAGGCCATATCTTTCCTTTTACAGTCTATCATTAACAAACTCCATTACAGTGTTACATGCAGATCATGGAATGGGGTGGTTTTTTTCCACTTGGCGTCTTTCGGAAAGGGCCACTTTACTAATTTCTAGTAGGTTTGACTTGACTAAGAAATCTAGAATACATTACAGAGGCAGGTCTGTAAATTAATCATATATCATATATAGGAAAGTTTGCTTGTGAAGAGATTATTTACTGCCTTAATGACACGTGCCACGAGATGAGTCGTTGTTACTTGATATACCTAATAAATTTACCTCCAACAAATTTCATATTTTTAAAAGTAGAATTTCTTTCCTTGAATCGATGTTGACATTTAGGATCTAAATGTGATATCGATGGAGGAACTACTCGAAGATGTATATGGAAGCCAACAAATTGGTCAATCAAATACAATATACAGTAGGTAATCTCATTATATATATCAGTTTATGGCAACTTATTGGTTATTAAGTGTTAAATTTGGTATAGCCATGTATATTTGAGTGTGGACAAATTACATTCTCAATTTATCTAATCTATAAAGCAAGCAAAAGAAAACAAAAACGAATAGAATACTTTATTTTTTTTTGGTTCATGACAGTCATAAGGTAATTCTTGAGAGAAATATTAGATTGTTGATCCAGTCCATGACGTACGAACCAGATACGACGATGGCGCAGCCTGAAATCGAGACAAAAGAAAGCGACCTAGTCATCATAGTAATCACGGTTTTAATCTTCGCGATCTTCGTCGTGGGTTTGGCTTCGGTTTGCTATCGCTGGAGCTCTCGCCAATTTTACCAACTAGAGCAATCCGTTAACCCGTTCGCAGACTCCGTCGACGGATTCATCACAGTCATGAGGAGTACAAGGAGGAACACGGAGGCGCGTGGGATCAACGCGGCTATCGTGAAATCGTTCCCGACGTTTCTCTACTTGGAGGTGAAGGAGCGGAAGATCGGGAAAGGCGGGGTCGAGTGTGCGGTGTGTCTTTGTGAGTTCCAAGACGACGAAACGCTGCGTTTGATGCCTAATTGTTGCCACGTGTTTCACGCTGATTGTGTAAGTGTCTGGCTCTCCGATCACTCCACGTGTCCTCTCTGTCGAGTGGATATTGTTTTCCGACCGTGTGAGGAGAGCAATCCGGATCACGAGCAAAGCGTTTTAGATTCTACCGACGAGCATTTGGTTGATGGTGTGACGTGGACCAATAGAAATAGACCGCCTCGGTCATGGTCAACGAGATTGTCCCACTGCCGAATTTCGGAAATATTATTCTCGAGATCGCATTCGACCGGACATTGTGTGGTTCAACCGGTAGAGAGTGTCGACCGGTTTACAATCCGGTTACCAATAGATGTCCGGAGGAAACTGACGAAGAAGACAATGGGCCACGTGGCGCTAACTCAGGTGAGAAGCTCGCGGCTTGGTTACAGAAGCAGAAGTGCAGGAAGCGAGAGAAGCCTCTTCTCGTACCAACGGAATAATTATATTAACCGGAGGCTGCATTCAATGACTTTCTCCTCCTTCCCTGATTGTGTAGGGTCCACTTCCGGTGACGGAGATGCGGTGGCTCCGATCGATTTAGGCGAACGGTTGTTTGAACAACTTGAGCTAAGTGATCGAGTGTAAATATGCCAATTTTTATGTGTGTTTTCGCTATCGTTTGCCTTTCGAACATGACGGTTTTTAAAAAAAAATATTGTCAGAAGTGGGATTTGAACCCACGCCCTCTTTCGAAGACCAGAACTTGAGTCTGGCGCCTTAGACCACTCGGCCATCCTGACAATTTTGATAATTAGATTGCAGTATCTACTATAGCCTACCGTTTTATCCGATTAAATATCAGAGGCATACAATTCACCTGAGATTCGTCCATCGGTATTGAAACAAAACAGAGCAACAAGTTCTAACAAGTAAGACTCTAGACAAATTCCAAAGAGTTATCAATCTGTAATGTCGAAACAAAGTTTGGCTTCATCCCAAGGACCATTGATCTCAAACTTGTACTCTTGCATCCTAATAAGCCAATAAGGGCACACAACATTGACAAGAACCACAAGCACAAGAAAGAGAACGAAGAAGAGTCTATGAAGCGCATAAACGGAGTACAGCGTCAAACCCATCAGAGCAAACGAGAAGCAAAGATGCAATCCAAAAGAGAATTTCTTGATGCAGTAAGTGACGAGAGGAGCAAATAGAAAGACTTGGAGTGAGAAGAGCATCACAGCAAAGACATGGAGCCTAGAAGGAAGGCGCGAGGCAACAAAGACGGACGCTACAATGGAAGCATTGAGAGATATACAGCTCGTCAAATTCGGGCTTTTCAATGCTCCTGGGGCTCTAATGGTGGAACCAGAGTAATCGTGCAAGAAGAGATGGAGCAAGAGGAGGGAGACAGTGACTGCCCATATCGAATCAGAGCTGATTGATCTCGTGAGCGTCTGGTAAATAGGAGCTAAGATGTAGAGACCCGTGGTGAAGAAGGAGATGTTGACGACGTAACGCAAGAGGAGGCTCAAAGAGAGCATTTTTTCTTCGGTTAAGAGGAGAACTAAGAACCCTGATGCCAAGAGGGAGAGATCAAGTAGCAAGAGCGAGTTCTCGTCCAAAGATGATCCAAGAGTGTGGACCCAAACCAAGACGACGAGCGCAACGATGCAGAGGTATTGAGAGATTGAGACAGAGTCTTTCATCACCTTGAGCAAATCACGCCTCACGACGTTTGCGTTCATCACCATTTCTTCCAGGAACGATTCGTCGGTGTAGTTGTCGTCGTATCCGGTTTGCATCCCTCCGTAGGCTACTTTCCTCCATTTGGGTCTCGGAGTTAAGTCTCCGGCGAGATTCTTCTCCATTGGGAGGAGGTTCCGGATTCTCGGGTTCCAAAATTAGGCTTTCTACGAACTCGCGAATAAATTCGACTTCGAGAGAGGGATGCGTAAGCAACGATTTCGTCTAAGAGGAAGATCGAAGAAGCAGTGAATCGAGAGGAAGAGATAGCGAAGCAGGGACGGGAGAGATCTTGAGAATTAGCGGATGCTATTATTTGTAATAAGAGAAAGTAGTGGGGACTAATTTGGAAATACTTGCTAACTTTTGTGGTTTTAACGCTATTCTATAAGAAAATTTACAGAGATTTTGCAGCTCTCAAACTAACTCCTTAGGTATCAGAGGAAGAAACTAAATCTGACATTTTTGAGACTAGAAAAGGGGACAAAAGTTTACATACATAACAGTAATATTATATTTGAATTTTTTAAGTCGAATATAGGATAGCTAAACATGAGATTTAAGAGTCAAAATACATATATGTCAAGCGCAAACATCTGCAAACTCGATGAATGAGAAAATATCTCATTAAACAGAAGAAACATGGAAAACAAGATTGTTGATGAAAAAACAGAGAGCCTCTCTTTAATGTAAATGATCAGTCAAAATACGAGGCCATCAACTGCAAAAAATGAAATTCCATTTGAAAGCCACCAAACTCAGGTTGGTTACCAGTTCAGCCATCTTCTTCTTCTTCTTCATCTTCAGTTTCATCTTCCTCCTCAGCTTCCTTCAGCCACTGTATGAAGGGCTCACATTGCTGCAGATAAACTTTGTCAGCTTCATCCGCGCCTGCTTTCTCTTCCGCCCATCTCAAGATCGCATCTTCTTCTAACACATCTATGTTATACAGAACACGCAGAATCTGAGAAAACAAAGGCCCCAGCTCCCTCGCAGTTTCCTGACACATCTCTTCAAGTTTCATAATCACTTCTATCTGTTCATCGATTTGCTTTACATAGAACCCAAGAAGTCCCTTATATTTTGTCATGATACTCGCCGCGTTCCTCAACAACTCACCAGCAGAGTTATGTGGAGTATCAACTGCCAGTTTCATCATAGAGTAGAATGTTGCTCCAGCACAATCTGCAGATTCCATGTTGTACGACAACCGGAGTGAGTTAATCTCCAAAATCGCAAGGTCCACTGCAAAACCCTCCTCAACAGCCCTTAAGAAGGTACCTTCAACCTCTCTCTCAAAGTAGCCATAGTCATCAACGGGATCATTCAAATCAGTGTTAATACTATCAGCATCAGATTTCAACTCTCCAGAAGTCGGGACAACACTTTCATCCTCTATGTCATCATCGTCCATGGCCTGAGTTATCTCAGCAAGTTTATCCTCGGGGATTGGTGCAACAGAGTGCTTCCACTCCTCATCACGAGCCCCTTCACACACTTCCCATATGTAACCCGCTCCATCGGGACCAAGCTCAGATGCTTTCGACTCCATTTGCAGATTTAGACCTGACAAATGATCTGCAGTCCCGCTGCTACTGTCCGCATATTCCAGTTCTTCATCGCTGTCTTCTTTAGTTGGCTGTTGAAGTAAGGAAACCTTTGAATACGCAGGTACAATAAAGTCGCGCCCAACATCAACCTTGAAAGACAGAACAACACCAGGCTGCAAAACAGCCCCTGCTCTGATTTTCACATCATCACAGACAATAGCGTTCCTTATCTCACACCCATCTTCAATAGTGACATTGTTCCATATGTATGAGCCTTCTATCACCACATTTGATCCAATAGAACATCCATTCCCAATAACCGAGTTCAAGATTTTATCCCCACTCCCAATTTCTGTGCCATATCCAATGACAGTGGAAGATCCAACATCAGCAGATCGAGATAGAATTGCATCAGAAGCCCTGTACATCCCTTGTCTCCCAAGCTTTAGAGGGCGATTCCCACTGAAGTTGATATCTGGTACATACGGATACGTCCACCTCTGGATTATATCCTTGCTAACTGTGTCATAGCTTCGGAAATTGTCGATCCTAGCAGCATAGCTCGAGTGAATCTCGTGAGTGAAGATCTTGTAACCCATAATATCATCAACAAGCACACCCTTGACGAAATGACGGCGCAGATGCTGATAATCAAAGTTATCTTCAAAGAGACTAAGCACCTCAGGAGAACATATGTCAATGTAGCAATCCTGCATATCATTGTATAGTAAAACAGATGGATTACTATCTAGCAATGACTTATCTAAGCAAATCGTTCCTCTTGCATGATCGATCTTGTCCTCCTCGTAGTAAAGGAGCTGCTTTGTTAACGGATCTACAGCAATGAAGAGTTGATCGGTTCCTAGCCTTGACTGATGCGTGAGAGGAGAAGGTTTCGACTGCTTGATAACCATCGTCATGATGGCTTTCTCATCTTTCTTCTTCCTCTCTCTGTGTTCTTGAATCAAATCGGCGAGTGGCATATTGCTCACGGTATCTCCACTAACAAGAACAAAGTCACCTTGAATCTGAGACGTCTCTGCTTCTTGTTCATAGATGAAACGCAGAGCATCTCCAGCACTAATTGATTTGTGCGACTCTATCGTTCTCACCAACAAGCTTGGGTGCGAGTACCATTCGGAGTTCTTTAGGTAATCGATAACCTGCGTCGAGTGAGCACAGCAGAAGACGAAAACTTCTTCTATCCCAGCAGATTCGAGCCATGCCAAGGTATAATCAATCATCGGGACATTCACTAGCGGCAACAGTACCTTTGGGCGTTCTAGGGTTACGGGACGGAATTTCGTGGTGAAGCTATCGGCGAGAAGAATTGCTTGCAACCGTTGACGACTCTGTTCCTCCGATTCATCTGAAACCCTAGCGCCGCCTTTCTTCTGAGCACCCACATCGCCTTTCTTCAGAGCACCCACATCGCCTTTCTTCTGAGCACCCATTTCGCCTTTCTTCTGAGCACCCATTTCGTCTCTCTCCTCTCTCTCTCTCTCCGTGTGATCAATTCAATCGAAAATCCACGAAGAGACCTAAAACCCTGAGTCTAATAAAAACGAAGGTTAACTTGTGGCGAATTTAGAAATCAGGATTAAATGTGCTCTTTATATAAAAGATCGAGGTCTTGTTTGCAAATTCATCCTTTTAGGTACAGTATTCCCATTTCCTTGGCTAAACAGATTAAAGACGCCAAGTTTTAGAAAGACGAAAGCGAACTTTAACTAGTGGGGTAGCTTTATTGAATGGACAGTCACAAGTTGAGGATAGTATCGAGAATTAGTACAAAACTTGTATGAAACTTCTACTAGTCAAACAATGGAACTGATTGGTAGCCCCATGAACTTAGATCTCCTCCATAAACTTAGGAAAGAAATCCCAAAGCTCTGAAGCAGAGAGAGAGAAATGGATGGTGAAGAGAGAGGGTACTGGAGATGGAGCAAGAAGGATTTCTTTCCTGAGGAATCTTTCCAGAGCTTGGCTAGTTACAGAGCAGCTCTGTCTCAGACATGTTCAAGGTTCAAGAACAGGTTGGTTAGTAGGTCTGATGATGAGAACGAGCGGTTCGAGCTCAGGAAACAGAGCGAGCACGAGATGAAACGTTGTCTCACGTGGTGGGATTTACTCTGGTTCGGATTCGGGTCAGTGATCGGGGCTGGAATCTTTGTCTTGACAGGTCAAGAAGCTCATGAACAAGCAGGACCAGCTATTGTCTTGTCCTATGTTGTTTCAGGTTTTTCCGCAATGCTCTCTGTCTTCTGCTACACGGAGTTCGCTGTGGAAATCCCCGTGGCTGGTGGTTCGTTCGCTTATTTACGGATCGAGCTCGGAGATTTCGCAGCTTTCATCACTGCAGGAAATATACTTCTTGAGAGTATAGTTGGAACTGCAGCTGTTGCTAGAGCCTGGACTTCATATTTTGCAACTCTTCTGAATCGCAGCCCAAACGCTCTACGGATCAAAACTGACCTCACTAGTCCCGGTTTTAACCTCCTGGACCCGATAGCTGTCTTGGTTTTAGCTGTTGCAGCTACACTCGCATCCATAAGCACCCGGAAGACTTCATTGCTTAACTGGATAGCTTCTGCTATCAACACTTTAGTGATACTTTTCGTGATAATCGCAGGTTTTATCCACGCCAAGACCTCGAACTTGACTCCATTCTTGCCTTATGGACCCGAGGGAGTGTTTCGAGCAGCTGCAGTTGTGTACTTTGCATATGGAGGATTTGATAGCATAGCAACAATGGCTGAAGAAACCAAGAATCCATCAAGAGACATACCGATTGGATTACTCGGTTCAATGTCGATAATCACTGTGATATACTGCTTGATGGCATTGTCCTTGAGTATGATGCAGAAGTACACAGAGATAGATCCAAACGCAGCTTACTCGGTAGCGTTCCAGAGCGTTGGAATGAAATGGGGAAAGTACTTGGTGGCTCTTGGTGCCCTCAAAGGGATGACTACTGTTCTTCTAGTAGGAGCATTGGGACAAGCACGATACGTTACTCACATTGCAAGGACGCATATGATACCGCCTGTATTTGCACTTGTCCATCCCAAAACCGGAACACCAATAAACGCAAACCTCCTTGTAACAATCCCAAGTGCTCTCATTGCTTTCTTTTCAGGTTTAGATGTTTTGGCGAGCCTCCTATCGATAAGTACTCTTTTCATCTTCACAATGATGCCCATCGCACTACTAGTGAGGAGATACTACGTTAGAGAAGTCACTCCAAGAGCTGATCTTCTTAAGCTTATCATTTGCATCTTGATCGTTGTTGCTTCTTCAATGGCTACTTCAGCTTATTGGGGAATGAGACTCAAGGGATCATGGATCGGATACACAGTAACAGTTCCTTTCTGGTTCTTGGGGACATTGGGGATAGTATTCTTTGTTCCTCAGCAGAGAACTCCGAAAGTGTGGGGAGTACCGTTAGTCCCGTGGATACCGTGCTTATCGATTGCTACAAATATCTTTCTCATGGGATCTTTGGGAACTCAGGCTTTTGTAAGGTTTGGGGTTTGCACTTTAGTCATGTTGCTATACTATTTTTTGCTTGGTCTTCATGCTACATACGATATGGCTCATCAGAAAATCGTGCCTAGATCTTAAACTTATGATATCAGCGAGGGAATGCAAGTCTAAAAGTCTCCAAAATCACTCTAATGTCGTTATTCTGCTTTCAAGCTTTCTACATGACTTGCTTCTTTCTGGCATCTGTGTAACCTGCAAAGGTGAAGACATAAAGTTTATACCTTTTTTGGATATTGATAAAAAGAAAAAGCTTTCCACAAGCACTTTCTATTCAAACATGAAACAGAAATTCTGGGAATATAGAAGAGATAGAGAAGAAATAAAGCAAGGAGTAAAGTACTACTGAATCCAAACAAAATAGTATAGTCTTTGTTCCAAAAATGTCTCTACATGCATCTTTTAAAACCCCACAAATGTGTAAATCAAAATTGGCATTAAGGTAGCATCAACAAATCTCACATCCTAAAAAATGAAACTAATTCAAGCTCAAGGGATTAAGGCAAGGCAGAAGTAGTGTGATTCAACAGTAAAGCTAGATCAAAACTCAAACGAATACAAAAAAAAATGAAAATCCTAGAATCGGAAAAGGATAGAGATGTTGTACTCTAACGGCGGCGACGATGGAGACAGGAGACAAAACGTTCTCCATCTTGCTTCAGTGTTTGATAACCATTTCTATAAAAACAACCACCCTTATTAATGTTCAATAAAAACAACCTTTATTATGTTCTTTATGCAAAAACAAAAAACAAACAAACTTATTTATCTTTTTGTGACGTTATGTTCAAACGCTTTCATAGCTCAGTTGGTTAGAGCACCCGTTTAGTAAGCGGGAGGTCTTGAGTTCAACTCTCAATGAAAGCATATTTTTATTCCCTTAAAATTTTTTTGGTTTTTTGCATTGCATATTACTTCCACAACCATAGATTAACGCCTCAAAAAATTGATTCATGACAAAAAAAACACCCTCTTTACCCATTCTAGTATAGTTCCAACCAAGATTTAACGGTCATCATTACAGACAACTAGAGTTCTGTTCTGTTCTGCTCCGATTCTTCATGAATGTTTTTGCTATCAAGAGGTATGTACTGAGACATAATAGACACTATCTCTGAATCCATGTAAGACTGCATTGAAATTTTGATGAAAACATAGAAAAAATGAGAATTGGAGTTTAATGAATGATGATCCGGGCGTAAGAGAAGTCACAAGTAGCAAAGTGACATTACCTTAAGGTGGTACTTGTAGAATATATAAGCAACGAAAGAGATGCCTGCAACGGCAGTTAGACCCACAATTGTGAACAACCATCTGCTTCTTGATTCACTTCTTCTCTCTGCATAAGCCGGTTTGGATGTAAACATCGAGAGGTGTTCTAATAATATCTAGAAAAAGTTTACATACCAATACAAGTGTCTTGTTCTTTCATATAGAGACTTTTGTTAGAGCATTCGCATTCATATCCTCCCCAATTGTTCTTGCATTTGCAGCCATCACATTGACAAGCTGATTTCTCTTTGCATTCATCAATGTCTAGTTATGAAGCGATCAAGATTGGTCAAAGACAAATGACAAGGAAACTCTATTTTACCATGAACAAACTTGTCGAAATATTTTCACCTTCGCATTTCAGACCATCTCCGTGGAAGCCTAGAGGGCAACGACATCCTGATGTGTCCGAGTTCTACATCGAACAATCGAGAGAAAAGACATACAAAAAGTAAATAAAAAAGTTTCAAAATTTAGCAACAAGTGGAATAGAAAGCAGCGTTCACTTAACCAAACAAGCAGAGAAAGTTTGACCCTTTTTGGTTTCAGACCAGCAGCCTCCTTCGTTCATGGAACATCTCGCAGGTCCATAAGCTGTATCAATAACAATAATGTTAAGAAAAGGACCTTTTCAGACTAGTGAACAAAAATGTGTAAATGAGATATATCGAAAAAAGAAGTTTCAAGAACATGTACGCTTGCAGGAGGTATAACCATCTCCTTTATATTGAACACCATGGACAACCGGGCACTCGCATACTCTTCCCCTATATGTGTCCTAATAAGAATTCATGTAATCTATGAAGAAGAGATGAAATAGACTGGTTAAATCATCATCGGTATATCGCTCCTTTTCACTATACCTTGCAAGCCGTTACATTAAATCTTTTATCTTGCCAACATCCACCATTTGCTTCAAGACATTCATTGGTCTCTATATCTGTTGTCAAATGGAACAAGAAGAAAAGTCTTTTTAGTATGTTCTTGTTGGAATACGACTAGCTTGCTTGAGGCAAATGGCTTGACCTGCACTCAAACATATTGGAGGTTCGGTTCTCTCCTTGAATCCAGAACATATAGCCTTCAGCACCGAGGTTCTCTCGAGTTTACCTGAACATGGAACAGATTAAGACTATGTAATCTTTGAACTTTTTGATACGGAGAGAAGGAAAGAGCTTACCACGATATTGAGCATTGTTGATGATCAATGTTGGAAAGATTGTGATAACCCCGCGATTCTCTTGGCCTAACTGTACTTCAAAAATGTCATGAAAGAAAGAATAAACAGCTCTGTGAATTTGAAGAAACATCGAACCTGAAAAGCTTGCTCGGTTTTTAGAACTTCATTCTCTACATCAGCATCAGGATCACCAATGCATTTCTTGATCTTCTCAAGAGACAAACCTGAGAAAAAAAAAACAAACAAATATCCCTGAAAACTGTTAAAGAGAAGAGATGCAATCAGATTGTGATATCTCTCATGAAAACAAAAGGCCATTTTTTACCAAGAGATTCCACGACAGTATCCGCACATTCTTTGCTATATTTCTTCTCCTTCATAGAACACCTGATGTTAAAATCTGTCACATAATCCCACCAGACCCAAGAACTGTTCTTCTCCTTAGCCACTCTATGAACACATAACTGTCTCAGGTTCTCGTAAACGACGTCTTTCCCATTATATCCATCTTCAAAGTCTTGTTCAGGGTCAGGAGCACAATACCTCCCTTGGTTTATACACTGAGTCTTACACTGCATGCTATGTAGAAGCTCTTTGGGACAAGACCAAGAAATGTAATGAGGTGTGAACAAAGTATGACCGCCTTTTTCGAGAATCTGAGCTTTTCCCTTGAAGTTCTTTATGAAATTCATCTGTTCATTGCAGTGTACACCACATTCATCATTAGTGTTAGCCCATAGCTCATACTCAACTCTCTCATCAGGGTTTGGTATGGACTCACTCCACTCTATTTTCAAGATTACTTCTTCGCCTCTTTTTAGAGCTTTCTTGAGGCTGTCTCCGAAAGAGCAAAGGATCAAAGCCGATGGGATGTTGATTTTATCTAAAAAGTGAGGATCTTCGTCTTGGGATTCCTCTGGTGAATCCATTGTTATTAATGGCTCAACAATGTTATCTGCTAGTAAAACAGCCGCTGCACCGGATTGTTGCCCGTTCCATATCTTCAAAGGATAGTTACACACTAAAAAGAAGAGAGAATAGAGTTGAATCTACTTACCCTCAACACAAATCTTTCACCATACAAACCTCATCAGTTTCAGAGAAGCAGATGTTAACTAAAACTCTCCAAACTTTCAATTAGATTCTTGATGGAACACTCGAGATTTCTTAGTTCTTAATAAATTCTAGAAATGGAATGAGATTCTGACAAAGTCTCTAATGTCAAGTACAGAACCAAGAACGTTCAGTCTCATATGTCAATTATGATCAAGAAATGTCAACTTTCAACACTAGGAAGTAGGAACTTTTGAATTTAGATTAAATTTACCTCCACGATCAATGAGGAGGATGGTGGGATAAGGAGACTTGGGCTTGAAGGTTTTGTTGAAGGAGTTACATCCGTAACTGCCTTTGCCTGCGTAGACGACGGAGCCGATCATGAAACCGCCGTAGCTTGGGATGCCAAAGGTTGCGATGGCTGCGTCGTGCTTAGCTCCCATTGCCCATGAGTTAAGAACCGTCAAGCTGCTCTTTTGCACGAAGAATATCGCTGAAACTCCGTTGACCACCATGGTCAACGCTAGAATCAGAGCAAAAACGATTACTTTACTGCTTGGAGACATTGTCCTCAACAGCGTCTCTCTGTTTTTCGAAAGTTTCCCGTCAAAATTTGCAACTATTTCCAGAGAAAAAAGTGATCTGAAGCTAATGTATTTGGAAGAGAAGACAAAAGTTGACAGAAGTCAGCGGAGCTACCATGACTCTGCAACTACTGTTTTTTCCACACATCTGTCTCATTATAAATTAAAGTTTCGGAATTGCAATAAGCCAAATTTAGGCAAATTTTTGGATGCTCTTAAAAGCCCATATAGACCATCCAAGAATTATGGGCCGAAGAAGCCCATTATGAATTTGCTAGTCAAATGGGGAATTGCTTCGCTTTTGATTAATAGACAAGATCCCAAGATGATCCCATTTGAAAAATATCTAAAATAGCTGTATAAATCAACGAGTGGTCGTCCCACAAAACACCACCACGAGCCATGTAATGCTCCAATATCTCTAATTGCACTTTCTTTGATGCAAGCCAGCCATTAACAGCACGTGTTTGTTATTCATATTTAAATATGATATACATTAATCTAAGCCGCGTTCGTATTTGTTACAGATATACACGTAGAAATATACATTATTCAGTTTGTAACTATATATAATTCTGGTCTAATATGTCTGCGTGTTTCCACATATATATCTAGAACGTTTCACAAAAGAAACCAACAAAACATAGCTCAAGTATGGACCTTAAGCTCAGGCCAAGCTTCTTCACCTCCTTTTTTGTTTTCATCATACTTCTAAAAAACCCTGATTTCGCATCAGCAGCAACTAGTCCTAGATGCATATCCACCGAGCGAGAAGCTCTTCTCACCTTCAAACAATCACTGACCGATCTTTCGGGTCGGCTCTCTTCTTGGTCCGGACCTGACTGCTGCAAATGGAACGGTATTCTCTGCGACGCCCAAACAAGCAGGGTTATCAAGATTGATCTCAGAAATCCCAGTCAAGTAGCTAACTCCGATGAGTATAAAAGAAGTTGCTTGCGGGGTAAGATACATTCCTCTCTGACCCGTCTCAAGTTCTTGAGCTATCTGGATTTGAGTTCAAATGATTTCAATGGATCGGAGATCCCGGACTCTATCGGCCACATCGTTACTTTAAGGTACTTGAATCTTTCTTCCTCCTCGTTTTCTGGTGAAATTCCGGCGAGTCTTGGCAACTTGTCGAAGCTGGAGTCTCTTGATCTGTACGCTGAGTCGTTTAGTGACTCTGGTGCGTTTGCTTTGCGCGCAAGCAACCTCGGGTGGCTTTCTGGTCTGTCTTCTTCTCTGGCTTACCTCAACATGGGGTATGTGAATCTGAGCGGTGCCGGTGAAACCTGGTTACAGGATTTGAGTAGACTCTCGAAGCTGAAGGAGTTGCGTTTGTTCAATTCTCAGCTCAAGAACTTACCTCTCTCGTTGTCTTCGTCTGCGAATCTTAAACTCCTTGAAGTTCTTGATTTGTCTGAAAACTCTCTCAGTTCGCCGATACCCAACTGGCTATTTGGTCTCACCAGCCTTAGAAAGCTGTTCCTCAGATGGGATTTTCTCCAGGGTTCGATTCCTTCCGGGTTCAAGAACCTGAAGCTTCTAGAGACACTAGATCTGTCTAATAATCTGGGACTCCAGGGCGAGATTCCATCGGTCCTTGGAGATCTTCCTCAACTGAAGTATCTAGACCTTTCTGCAAATGAGCTCAATGGTCAAATTCATGGGTTTCTCGACGCCTTCTCCAGAAACAAAGGCAATAGCTTGGTCTTTCTTGATCTTAGTTCCAACAAGTTAGCTGGGACATTGCCTGAGTCGCTTGGAGCGTTGAGGAATCTGCAGATTCTGGATCTTTCATCGAATTCCTTCACGGGTTCGGTCCCTTCCTCGATAGGAAATATGGCGTCACTGAAGAAACTTGATCTTTCTTTCAACACCATGAACGGGGCAATCGCAGAAAGCTTGGGGAAGCTTGGTGAGCTTGAGGATCTGAACTTGATGGCGAATACATGGGAAGGTGTTATGGGGAAGTCTCATTTCGTGAATCTTAGAAGCTTGAAAAGCATCCGCCTCACAACCGAACCAAACAGATCTCTTGTCTTAAAGTTGCCATCTACCTGGATTCCTCCTTTCAGACTTGAGTTGATCCAAATTGAGAACTGCCAAATCGGTCCTTCGTTCCCAATGTGGCTTCAAGTGCAAACCAAACTCAACTTTGTCACACTCAGAAACACTGGGATTGCAGATACAATACCAGATAGCTGGTTTTCAGGAATCTCTTCTGAAGTAACTTACCTGATTCTAGCAAACAACAGAATCAAAGGAAGATTACCTCAAAAGCTTGTGTTCCCAAAGTTAAACACCATTGATCTGAGCTCCAACAACTTCGACGGCCCTTTTCCTCTCTGGTCAACAAACGCAACAGAGCTTCGACTTTACGAGAACAACTTCTCGGGTTCTCTTCCACTGAACATTGATGTCTTGATGCCAAGAATGGAGAAAATCTACCTCTTTCATAACAGCTTCACAGGCACAATCCCGTCGTCTCTATGTGAAGTCTCCGGCCTGCAAATCCTCTCTCTAAGAAACAATCACTTCTCTGGTAGTTTCCCAAAATGCTGGCACCGTTCGTTCATGCTTTGGGGAATTGACGCGTCTGAAAATAACATATCAGGCGAAATACCAGAGTCTCTCGGTGTGTTACGTTCTCTCAGTGTCTTGCTTCTGAACCAGAATGCATTGGAAGGTGAAATACCAGAGAGTCTTCAGAACTGCTCTGGCCTTACGAACATTGATCTTGGAGGAAACAAGCTGACTGGGAAACTTCCATCATGGCTAAGAAATCTGTCTTCTCTGTTCATGCTTCGTCTGCAAAGTAACTCCTTCACTGGTCAAATCCCAGATGATCTCTGCAGCGTTCCGAATCTACACATTCTTGATCTCTCAGGAAACAAGATCTCAGGCCCGATCCCAAAATGCATCAGCAACCTCACAGCCATTGCTCATGGTACAAGCTTCGAAGTGTTCCAGAATCTTGTCTACATCGTTACAAGAGCTCGTGAATACCAAGACATTGTCAACAGCATAAATCTTTCAGGAAACAACATAACCGGAGAATTCCCAGCAGAAATCTTGGGCCTTTCTTACCTTCGAATCCTGAATTTATCGAGAAACTCCATGGCAGGAAGCATCCCCGGGAAAATTTCAGAACTCAGTCGCTTAGAGACGCTTGATCTATCAAGAAACAGGTTTTCTGGAGCCATTCCTCAGAGCTTGGGAGCAATATCTTCTTTGCAAAGGCTGAATCTTTCGTTCAATAAACTAGAGGGGAGCATACCAAAGGTTCTGAAGTTTGAAGATCCGTCTATTTACATTGGAAATGAGTTACTCTGTGGGAAACCACTTCCTAAAAAATGTCCAAGAGACATTAATAGCAGATTGTTGTAGTTAACTGAGCATAAGGTGCTAAAGATAATGTACCTGGTCATTCCCCAATAATAATAAACTTATCAAATCTACGGTGACGATGTTGTAACCACTTAAGAAAAATCAATGCAATGAACAATGAAATCCTTGTGTTTACTTGAGTCAAAAATTCAAACTTCCGAAAAGAGCACTCTTTTCATTTTCTTCACTTCCCATCTCTGTGCAATTCCCTATTAAGAGAATCCACAACTATGCACAAAGGAACTAGCATTCATAATATCTACGCTTATCAATGTGAGAAAGAAATCAGAAGAGCTATCAAATTCAACAAAGCAACCTGAGCATAATCAGTCGAAAGAGATCGAACCATGACCCAACAAAAAAAGGAAGATTCAGGCACTAGTCTAGAAACAACGGAAGTCACATCAACAAGAGATTCCAATCTCGATGCAAAGAAGAAACACTCACTACCTTGGAAATAGAGACAGAGAAGCTCGAAACTCTCAAACTGTGATATGCGTCTACAGAAAGAATAGAACAACGATGAGGTGTTTCGAACAGTTCTTCTCAGCTTTATCAAATTCCAATCCTATTTCGGTTTGTTTCAGTTCGATTTGATGTAATTTCGAGTGGTTCAGTTCGGTTTCGATTCAATTCTATTTTGTGTAACCAAAAAGTGATTTGATTTTGGTTTAAATCTTACGATTTTCTTCTGCTCGGTTTGATTTTTCTTTTCCAGTTACGGACTTTTTTTCTTCTCACAGTAAGCCAAGTTGATTGGACTGTTAAACATTTGACGATGAAAAGAGTTTAACGGGCTGGTCAAGTGAGCCATATATCCAAGGCTAAAATCTGTAACGCTTTAACTCTTCTTTTTTTTTTTTTTTTGAATCACAACGTTTGAAGAAAAACCAAAGTTTTAGTACCATCTCTTTTGCTTTTTTAAGCCAAATGGAACTTAAGAAAAGGTTGTTAAAAACAAATATTGTTTTGAATAAGCTTCAATGCTGAAACTTGGCGCTTTGTTTATGCCTTTATGAGTTTATGGGGTATGAGGAAGCTTTAAAATATAAAATTACATTATTCACTCTTTCTAACTTTGTCTTCTCTATTTTCTCCAATAAATAGTGCGTCACCGAAATATTTATGATTTGTAAAAAACAAATATTCGTCACTATTTAAAAAAATGTTAAGTAAAAAAACATATATATAATTGTTCGTTACTAATTAAAAAAATGGATTAGGGATTAAAAATCTAAAATCATTTAGGATGGGAATTAAAAAGGTAAGAAAATGATGGTTCAATGCAACTTTGGATGCCAGGTCTGTCTTCTCCTCCTTTACACGCAAAACTATGCCGTTTCTGGATTTCTTTTTTATTTCATTTTGCCTCTTTTATCTTTTTCTTTTCCAGTTTTTGCCTTTTTAGCATGCAGTAAATAGATTTGAAGAATATAAGGACAAAACTCATGTGGAGTAACTATTTCTAACTAATTAAATTTGTAGCGTAAAAATAAATAGGCCAGTCTGTATTAACTATAATTAAAAATCATATCAAACCAAACCAATTAGTTTCCTCATCAGGGTGTTACAAAAACATCAAAGGGGTTTCCAATCAAAGTTATGGCAAACTTAAGTAATCGAACTGAGTAAACTGAATCAAAGATTAACCCTGTTTAAGTTTGACATTTTTTAAACTAATTAAACCAAATAATAACCTCAGAATGTTCACCTCTTATCTGCTAATTGCATTGATTCGTTTATTAACAACTATAATCTGCATTGAGAGATATAGATCGAGAGATCCAGTTTCTAGATATACTAGAAATCTATATATAATAATAGCGATAATTTTATAACCCTAACAAAAGTACAATAACCCTAAAAAGGAAGTATTATTCAGTACTACTCATCATCACTTAGCTTTCGTTGACACAACATCAATGCAGATTCGCGATGCATGTGCCATGTATGCTTGGGACCTCTGAAATCACCGAGTACTATATATTTATAACTATATCAAATCAATTAAATTTGTATGGATCCATGCATGGTTGGTTCGTGATTATTAAATGCGACATGTACCAAAAGACCTTTACCATACATCATTGCCGTATTTTCTAAACTAAATTTTGAACTGGTAGGAAAATAAATTAATAAGTATGTGGATTCGCCCACGAAGTTTGGCTCTTGTATATCTCAAGAATCTAGATTCTTGTCTTTTCCCTTTCGGTTCATTTTGGTCCGTGCAATTCCTGTCTTTTGGTTCATTCTATATCGTATGTTGACAAAGAATTATAATTTATTAAGTCAAAGTAAAATCTAGTTTGATTTTATGCCGTGCTTAATTCATTTTTCAAGTTTTGATAAATAGAATGGCTAGATAGGAAGTTTATAAACATATCAAACTTACGTATTTTCTTTTGCATGGAAGATTGGGAATTTAGTAGGAATAAAAATAATAAAAGTAGAAAGGATACTGAATGTGGAAAGCGGTCCAAACCCTTTATAAGCACGTCTGTCTATATATGTTTCTGCGTGTGTATATACAATTTTTTTTATATAACCCGGGGATCCCCAGGCATGTGAACGTATTTTTTTTTTTTTTTTTTTTACATCAAAACCCATATATTAAGCTTGTGGCAATAGACTCTCTTCGACAGAGAAAGTCCGCCCGGGGCCAGTCAACATGTATTTTCTTCTTTAAATTGTTCTTTTTGCTATTTTTTTGCAATTTATTTTTTCTATGATTTTTAATGAACAAAATATAAGATATATTCCAATTTTTATTAAAAAAAAAAAGTGAATGTAAAACTTCACGTAAGTGTTTAATATTCAGTCAAATAAAAGGTTCACCAAAAATATCCAGTCAAATTATCTCGTTCTATTATTGGTACGGTGTCTTATACACTGTAGCGTCTCATTACAAATTCTGGAAGCTGATAGTTTCTCACAAATTCATTTCGAGTGATTGCTAATATGTTCGTTCAGACACACGAGTGGAGTCAAAATTTGGACACTCTTGAATTTACGGTAAGATGCTATAAGTATATATTATTTTTTGCTCATATTAACTCCCACAAAACAATCTTACCAGCAAAACTGGAAATTATAACAAAAAAAAAAACTGGAAATTTAAACTTTGGATCAACAGACAACATGTTACATTCGATAACTTGTGTACGTACAACCTTAGAATTAAAGAAAGATATATACTAGACTACTGTAGGCAAAATATTCATACAAGCAGCTCTACATTATATATTTCTACCTATTGGAGATGGGATTTGGACCACTTGGGACTCCATGTTTCCTGTCACTGAGCATCTTCCCCTTCCGCCATGTGGTCATCGGCCGCCGAACTCTAAACCCTTCTCTTCTTCTCCCTTCCGGCGAAGTTACCGCCACATCATTGACGTCTTGAACATTGGAGCCAATCCGGTGAGTTTGATCAATGTTTATTTGACGGGTTTGGAGGATTAGTGAAAGGAAGAAGAAGAGAACAAGTGAAATGATGATGTAAGGAGATCTCATCACATGTTATACCAATATTAAGATTAGAAGCTTGTTATATATCAATACAACAAAGGCAAAACCATCAAAATGGTTTCTTTCCCTTGAGGGTTATTCAGAATTGCAGAGCTCTTGAGAATGATCAAGAAATGAGTTTTGATATTTTTCTGTAAACTTAGAGCTAGGAGAGAGAGAGAGAGAGATGTGTGAGATTGTGTATGCAGTTTTTTTTTCTTTTCTTTTGGTGTAGTAATGCGTGGAAAGTGCGAGAGAAAAGAGAGATATAAAAGAAAAAGCAAAGATGGTACGATTTTTTTTTTACTTTGTCTGTAGTGTGAATGTGAAACTTTGAGTCCCATTAATCAAAGGGATTACAGCAAATTTGAATATGAAGTCAGTTTTAGAAAAACACTCAACGTAAACCTCTGCTTGAAAATATTTAAAAGACTATTGTAAAAGATTTGATTCTGTGGGTAAAACTGAAGGCTATCGACTTTGACGGGGAAAAGACACATTTGACCGATTGATTTGGAGGTGTCGGAGACAAACACAAGCTGAGTAGCTGACCACAGTATTTTGTTTTTTGTTTTTTTTTGTTTTTTATCTTAAACTAGGTTCTAATCAACATTCAACAAACAAAAATTTCAAACAAAAAGAAAGGGAAATGGGGGTGAAGAAAAAGAGAACAAGAAAAGAATATTAATGGAAAATTAGCCACAAAAGACGAAGAGTCTATTCAGTGACAAGATTTAACGATGTCATGTTCTTATTTGGACATTTTTTATGTCACTGGTGAAAAGATTTTTTTGGTCTTCCCGAGTATACTTGATTACTTTCCCAAATACAGGTAGAAATCAAATCAATTACAAAAGAGGAAGAGTCGGAGAGAGAGGTTTTTTTTTTGACAAAACCATACTAGCTATGTGATTATGTTACAAAACCATTTGACAACTTAAAAAGATTTACAACCTATTATATTTTTATAATGAATAACAATGCTGTCCATGCATATAGTTCGTAGTTAGTATGGACCGACAAAAGAAAACGAGTTGAATGAAATAAAAAAAATTTTGAGTTATTTAAATGACATTATCTATCTGAATGTTGTGTTTTTGGCTTAGGTTGTTAAACCATTTTGATTAATATATATATATATATATATATATATATATAAAACAATTTTGTTAATTTGGGTCATGAAACATCTTACTTTTCATTAATACATTTTTTTTTACATATATAGCTAATTTGAAAGACCAGTTATATTATATAAAACTGAACACATAGATTAACCAACAATACGCTAGAATAGGTACAAACCACAGATATAATGGGGTGTACGTAGAAGAGGGGAGTTAAGAAAGTGGTTTGAACCTTGCCATTAGCCATTATTGAAGTTGAGATTGAGAGTGCTAGGTATCAGGGAGTGTTGGAATGGTACTATAGTAGTCTAATCAAGGACAGCTAGCTTACATCGAAAATTCAGCTGTATGTACATTGAAATCTGAGTTTTTTTTTTTATACCAAAGTTCATAAACTATTGCTCGTATCAAGAGCTTACAAATGATATTGAGCTTTCGGTTTGATGAGGGAGCAATACACCATATGAGAATGCCATCAAAAGCAGAAGAGTAATGGCTATAGATGTGAGTCAGAAGAAGTAATCTCACTACATTTATATTTGTAACAAAAATTTGTTAATATATTTTTTAAAAACAAACTTTATCGTGATAGCATAAAAAAGAATTGTAATATAGATGTGTAGTTTTTTTTTTTTTAGTGTCAGAATGGTTAAAAATGACACCACACCAATGTGCAAGTCCACCTTTAAAAAAGGTCTCCCATAACCATCAGTCCACATAAGAATATTACCTAGTTCGAAAACATGATTTTGTACACAAACTTATACATGCACACACAATGACACAATGCAAGAATAATATATAACCAGTTTTTTCGGGTAAAATGTAAAGGTTATATATAAACAATTTTTGTTAAATAATCGGTTTTATTTTACTCATCTCTTGTTTTTTTCTATTTCCAAATATGTTCTGAGCTTTTGGTTTATAATTTCTCTGGAACCGAGACCAGCTTTTGGTAATATTTATTAACACACAAGTCATCCTTTATCAATTAGAGATTCCAACATGGGAACAAGGAGTCAATCTCCCTCCTAAAATAATCCTTGAAACCAAGTGAGCCATCACCACTGACTCACCTCTCGTGTAAGTCATTAGCGAGGAAACCAAGAAAATCGTTGATCGCACCCATATTTTACGGCACTTCAATTCTTTCTTCAAAGGATTTCAACAGATCAACAGAGAAATTGTTTTATGTAATAATGAAAGTAAAATAAAGTGAAGACATGGTTGCAGTCGTGTCACGTTGCTCAACATGTGCGACCATGTAGGATATAAATGCTAGAGTTATGGAGTTAGATAATTTTGATTTCTTCTTAATTAATGTAGCTCAATGAGAGGAAATATTATTTATCAGTTATCACTCTAGTAGGCTTTAAACAGATGTACGATTAGACGATTAGTTAGTACGTAATTCCAATTTATTATACAACATTCTACATTATAAGTTTAAACATTATACAACATAGTTTTAAATCACAAATCCACAGTATTATAATATCTGAGCTAGCAAAAAAAAAAAATCTCTGAATCGTGTTCTAGAAAGCTATCAATTTTTCAAAACTATTGAATGAAAATGAAACAAACTACTATACTTTCACCTAAATAAAAAAGAGTTGATCCAAATGTTAATCTAGTTTAATGTGTCCCCATTCACTAACAGCTAATCCACCCAACGGCTCCTTTGGACTCTCCGCTTTAGGACCCTCCACGCCTTCATCTTCATTAATTATCTAATTAGGAGTATAACTACTAACTTGTAAACCTTGACCCCAAAAAAACTACTAACTAGTAAAGTAAAATGATCTTTAAAAGGAATGATGTAATTTCAAAAAACAGATTGGCAAAGTTGTAGAACCAGTTTTTTTTTTTCTTTGAATATAATTTAACATTTATTCAAAAAAAAAATAATCTTTAATTAACACTTCCGACGCTAAATACTTTCAGAAAACCATTTTTAATTGTCCTAAAAGGAGCAATTTTATGCATTTGCCGTGTAATCACACCTTAGAGCAGCTCCATTAATGTAACCCAGTTTGAATCTCTTTAGATTTTTTTAATAATTTTTTTGAAGAGTGATGTGTGGAACCATTAAAATTTACTCCCATTAAAATAAAAAATTCACTCTTATTAAATTGAATAACCAATAGCCTTCCTCCACATAGCCACGAGACTGTCTCCTGCGCCTCTTCAATCAAGGATCGATCCGTTCTTTTTTTTTTGATTTTCAATTTATTTTTAATCAATTTTACCTAGGATATTGAGCCAAAAAATGTCAAGAAATGCTAATGGAGCTGGTCTTAGAAGCTTCCTCGAGACACTCAGCATACTTGTCTTCGTCCGAATCTTTTTTTTTTTTTTTTTATTTACACTCTGTTTTTAAATTCTTTCTTTTTTTCCGACACGTTTCCAAGTTTAGAGGATAAACACAGAACAATTCTATTACTCGCATTTTTTTTTTTTTACTGGTCGCTAGAAGCAAACCTTCCTAAAAATAAAAATAGATAAAACAAAACACTGTTGTACTTAATTTCTGTTTCTTCATCGTTACCTTGTCTTTCGAGTCTAAAACCACTCGTTGCTCTGTTTTTTCAGTGTCTTTCAGTTAATCCAAAAACGAACTTTTCTTCTTTCCCTTTTGGAGAGAGAAAACGTTTTTGATTTCATTTTCATTTCCTAAGATCGAGATCCAATCAAAGATGGGTCTTTTTGTTGTTTGTCCTCGTCTTTGTAATCGTTGACGATTACTTCGTCTATACATAAGAATGGCGTCTTCTCAGGTAAAGATCGCCTCTTTACGATCTAACTTCGGTTCTGTCCTTAAAGATCGCAACCGGCGGCACAACGACGACGACGTCGTTTTCCAGAAGAATCTGAAAGCTCAAGTGAAATCTGCGGCGATCTCCGACGAGAATTCCCAGAACAGAGTCGATTCTAGGATCGGAAACAAGCCGAAAAAGAAGAACAAAAGCCGTCTTGGTTCGCCGGAGAAATCACGAACCAGAAAAAGGAACAACTTTTCCGACAGCAAGAGAAACGACAATCTTGGAGGAGCTTCTTCTCTTGTTCAGATATGGGAGGCGAGGCTGAATCGATCCAGCGGCGGAAACTCGCCGATCCATGGCCAATCAACAGAGAGCGTTCAAGAAGAAACCAACCTTTCGGCTCCATCCATCGACGGAGAATCTGAATCGGAGAACGAATCGAACAATCCTGATCGAACGGTGGAGATTGAATCCGAGACTCTCAATTCGGTTTCTGATTCCGGAGAGAGCAAATGGGGCCGAGTCGCTGACATTATACGAAGACTGAAGCTAACCGCCGGCGATAATGGCGGGACCGTCGACATGCCGATTATAAAAACGCAGGTGGTGGAGAAAAACAGTTTTCCGGTGGTTACTTGTTCGCCGCGACTCCGAGGAAGGCAAGCATTCTCCGATTTGCTTACGCGTCTGGAACGCGACCGTCACCGTGAACTGCAGTCGCTTCTTGAACGCAACGCAGTTTCTAGGTTTCCTCAACGTGGTCGCCTCCAGGTACTTGAATTTTGAGAAACCAACCATTTTTTCAACATCATTTACAAAAACAACTCACAACTTATTTAAGTTACAAAATTAACCAAGTTTCAGTGTTAAGAATCTCTCGCTTTTCCTTGTTAACACAGTCAATGTTGCGGCTAAGGAGTCTCAAACGCGGCCTAGTGATTCAAGATCGTCAACGGTCTAGCGCAAAAACACCTGATTTGAATCGCCTCAAACCTGGCTCTACAGTTCTTCACCTAAGGTATGATCAAGAACCTCTGTATTCTTACAAATTCATGAGTTAAGTTCTCACATATTTTTTTGCTGATCTCAATCTTTCAATCGTTACGCAGGGAAAAATTCAGGGCAAACGCAGCAAACGCCTCTTCTGAAGCAGAACGGAAAAAAGGTCAACAATCAACTGTAGAAACAGAGAGAAGTACCGAGAGCATGCAGTCTAAAGAAACTAGTATTCTTCTAGAAACTTCATCCACAGAGCGGTTAAGCCCTCGAAAGAGCAAGATAGAAGAAGCAATTTTACGAAAGAAAGAAAATGAAACAGAAATGAGTTACCTTCAGCTGCAAGAAACCATAGTAGCAGAAGCTTTGAAAAGAAAATCTGATAAGACCATCACCAGCGTAACTCATCAAGAACCGCGGAAACTGGAGAACGAGGACGCGAACATGGTAGAAATCAGTACACAGGAAACTCGAGAAACACCGTTCCTTGAGAGAAAAGAAACGACGTTACGATGGGAAGAGCAAGAAGAGTATGAGGATGAACAGTCTTATTACGGAGAAATGAGCTACGACTGGTTTACAGAAATTGCTCGGCCTCGGACTTATTGGGAAGATCTGAGGAAATCACGGTATCAGGAAGTGATGAACACTCGATCTGACAAAGAAGATATATGCAGACTCCTTGAGAGGTAAAATCAAATCAAAGCAAATGATTCTTCTTTATTTATTCAAAACATCTTTATATTATCCTAAAAATCGGTTCTTTCTTGATCATACAGTAGAACGGTTTCGGATTTTCTCCAGAGCGGTTTGCGAGAGAAGATCGATAAGCTCATAATGTCTCGTGTTCAGACAAATCCGGTTCGGCGGATTGAGGAAGCTGGTAAAGAGGAAGAGAAATGTGACATAGATAAAGAAGAAGAAGTTGAAGTCAGAGATTACTTGAGCCAAACGTCATCTCCGATCTTTGCGCCTTCACCGGCAGGATCATGGAGTTCTCAAGACACCGGTGTTGCTTCCACACCTCTGAACAATCTTCATTCCACTGTGAGCCTCTTCTTTTCTTGTTGAAATGTCACTAAAAATCACGATTAGTTTTGGTGAGATTGGCGTTTAGAATTCATGGAAATGTTGCAGGATATGGAGATTATAAGCGATTTGAGATCACAGATTTTACAGCTCCAACTAGACATGTCGGAGCTAAGAGACTCTGTCAAAACGTGTTTGGACGTAAACGCTAGCCTTCAAAAGTCAGTTCACCGGGATAATCCCCTGAAACGCAAATGCTGCGTTTGTAACGAAACGCTAGTTGAAACACTTCTATACAGGTAAGAAAATCCAATCACCTATATATAATTTGGCGACTTCAAATACGTTTCACTTCGCCTTTTTCACGTTTTGATTTTGTTTATACGTTTCCGCTTGATTAATGTAGGTGCGGGCACATGTGCACATGCCTCAGATGTGCAAACGAACTACAATGTAATGGCGGGAAATGCCCGATTTGTCGTGCTAAGATCCTAGACGTTGTTCGCGTCTTCGTCGATCCAAGAACCTGAAATTATATTTATAACCAACGGTTCAAAAACGCTAACGATATATATGTCACTTACCCCAAACGTTTTTTTTTTTTTTTTTTGTATAACTTTTCTTTTCTTCCTTTGTTTTCTTTCGAGTTGGCTGGAGCGCGTTTGCGTTTTGGATCTGCGTCCAAGATTCATACCTATGCTCTTTATAGGTGAATAACTAACCGAACCTCTCTTCTTGACGTTGAAGTTTTCTTCTTGTAAAGACACCTATACTACTACATATGTTTTTCACTTCCTTCCATCAAGTTTGTACGAGGTTTAGTATTTAGTAATTACCGTTTATTTATTTTGTTTTAGTATGTATAATGTATTAATCTTAAAACAATAACGGAAAAATAACCTAATATTTTCCGAAAAACATAAGTGAAAAAGGATGGAAAATAATGCCAAAAACATAGCTTAATGTTTGATGCGAAGGTGAAACAATGGCTCATAATCATAATATATATATATATATATATATATATATATATTATTTTTTTATAAAGACTGGGATCAAAGAAACGACGATCAAATTTTACTGGTCGATTAAGCTGAAAAACAGAACAAACATATACAGAGCATTAATGTTTGAAACAAAGATGAAAGATCGATTTTTTTTTTTCTTTTTCAAAAGCTCATAATCATAAGTCTTTCAGAGACTCAAGTCTAAATAGACGACAAACATTCTCTCTCAGTTGTTATATACAGACCGATCATTCGTAGATACAAACATGTATTATTGTAAAATCTTAGTGCTCTGTTTACGTTTGTGTGTGTGTGTGTGTGTGTTTCACGCGTTCTGTGCCGCTAAGAACGTATTGAAGTCATCTCTAGCTTTAAGCAGCCGTGGGGTGATACAAGATCTAGGCGAAGTTGGGCACGAAACCGAGGTCGTGGTTGAAAATCTGACACGGCGTTGCGGTGACGTCTCCGCGGAAACTCTTTGTTGTCTTCCCGACAGAGAACTACTTGTCTTTAGAACGCTTCTCAAAGCTAGACCTCTCGTTTCCTTGTCGAAGAAGAAACCTGAGCTCACTGGTTCTTGCATATCTCCACCTCCACATTTGATCATTTCCACCGGTAAATCAAAGTACAATCGGCCGTTTCCTTGGGTCAAAGCCGTTGTTGAAGCCCATGAGCCACACTCGAATTTCTCGAGTGAGGCGCTTAGCGAGACAGAGGAGTTTGAGAACGATGACACTTTGATCATTTTCTTCTTTATGGAAGAATCCTCGCTTTTTGGCGACCTCATAGGTTTTTGCTTCCCAAATCCAGAGAGGGATAAACAGAAGGCATTGCACTTGAATTCTTCTTCTTCTCCATAGTAGAGGGTTTTCTCGGGATCCCTAGATTTTCGTAGAGAAAGCATGGTTTCTTGGTTGCCAAGCTTCTTTCGTGGTTTCATCATCGGCTCGGGAAGAACAGGAAGCGGCACGGCGTTATCTCTTGGTGGAGACATGGCCAGAGGTAAGACCATTCTGAAGCTTTCGTCTTTCACCGATGGGCGCGAGATCATCGGTGAAACGGTCAGCTGGTTCTGCAGAGCCGAATTCTTCACCAAGAAATTAAAGTTAGGGTTAGGGTTTTCTCCGGGATAAACACTGAGACCCTGCCACTCGTCGTTGCTCCATTTCTTGGTTAAACCATCTTCGAACACAATCAAGGCTGGAGGAGACATAACAAAACTCAAGAAATTTAAGACGATATATTAAATATGGTGAGGGAAAAAGGTGAGATTTTCTGCTGATGAATCAAAAAGGTGAGATTTTTAGGGTTGAAACTAATTAGAATTTTCCGGATATATATAAATGGGGAAGAAGGAAGTGGGAAGCACGTCTATGGCGGCGTGGAGAAGTAGTGACTAACATGTTGGAATCTTAATACATACGCGGTCTGAAGAAGAAGATACAAGGTAATATTTGAATATACTAAATCAGTGTCTTATCAGTGTTATGTGAATTGTGAGGTACGTCAAGATAATCAAATCAATTGTGAATCTTGACCAAAAATAAAATAACAGAAAAAGTTTTTTTTTGTTCTGTTTTTTGGACCATAGGATGTTAAGTTCTTGGCAAGGAAGAGGTTGCCAAAATAAAATACTATGATAAAAGTCATTTGTACATTATCATTTGAAATTTACTATATTATTAATCTAAAAAATGGAAAAAGACAGCAAATGTTTTTGGCAAAAAACAAAAAGCAGCAACTAAGAAAGGAAAACAGGTAGTTAATTAATGGGCCGAGCATAGAAGCCCACATTTTGAAGAGCCTTTTCATTCTAAACCCTAAACCGGGGAACAAGGCAAAAATGGATTTGCTGACTCCTTCTGTCTTCTTCTTCTTCTTCCTCCGACCTGTCTCCTAACCGTCGAAAGCTCTCGTGAGTCATTACAACCTTTTTCCAATGTCCGTAAATGTGAAGGTACATAATTTTACTTCATCATATAGTTTGCCGCCATCTTTTTTTTTTCTTTTTTCTGGGGATTCAATACCATATTTTTTCATAAATTGATTTTGGTTTACCTTTTGTTCCATCTGATAAGCTACCTGTGTTTTTCTTCTTCTTCCGAGAAATCACCTATTTTTAGATTCAGGGTAGTCAGAAAGTCTCCAACTTTATTCAATTTTAGCATTTATAAGTAACTAGAATGGTATATCGACTCAATTTTTCAGTAAGAATTATTGTAACGAGATGCAATTCATCGGATTATGTTTGGCCTGGAGTCTGGAGATGATGGATTACGAGAACAAGCTTGATCTTTTAAATTTCAGTTTACCCAAAAAGAACATAAGAAGATAAGCTTGTTCTTAAGGCATGGAAGGTTGTGTTTGTTTTGATTGGTTTCTGTCATTATTTAGGAGGAACCTGTGGTCCCGAACTGCGATGTCGATAATACAGAGCTTGCAGTTTTCAATGGAAATGGGGAAAGTGAGCTCGAGGATTTTGGGACACGCATTGATGTTATAACCGAGAGAGTGAATCAGGTGACAATTGCTTTTACTTGGCATCGTCACTAGTTTCTTATTTTCGAGTCTCTTAACCGATATATTTGGAGTGCAGCTTGAGCAAAGAGTTGTGGAGGTTGAACAGTTTTACTCTACCAAAGATGGAGCAGCTCAAACAAATACTTCTAAGAGTAACTCGGGCGGGAAAAAGGTTGCTATTTCTCAACCAAACACCTCCAAGTGTAACTCGGCCGGGAAAGCAAAATCAAAGGGAAAACATGTTTCCAGCCCTGAACTTATGCGTCAATTTGCAACTATTATTCGTCAGGCAAGCAAGAAAAAAGAGTATCCCTTTTTCTTTTTATGATATGCTTTTCAGATGATGATAAAAATTCAAGGCCCTGATCTTCGATTACTTTGTGTAATGCTTCCTTAGTTTGCCAAAGTTATACTGTTTACTCAGTATTTGAACCTTTCGTCTTCTTGTACCTCTTAGATTACTCAACACAAGTGGGCATGGCCGTTTATGGAACCTGTTGATGTTAAAGGACTTGGACTCGATGATTATCACAAGGTTCAGATTCAAACCTTGCTATCTTACTTTGTGGGCCAAATTGACTTTTATGGTTAAGTCGAAGTCCAGGCTTCCATGAAATTTCGCTGAAATGAGTGTGTTTGATAAAACTTGATAGCTTCTGTGGATTACTTAACAGGTTATAGAGAAGCCAATGGACTTAGGAACTATCAAAACTAAAATGGAGGCTTCGGAGTATAACAATGTCCGGGAGATATATGCTGATGTTAGGCTAGTTTTCAAGAACGCGATGAAATATAACGAAGAAAAAGAAGATGTCTATGTGATGGCTAAAGCTGTATTGGAGAAGTTTGAGGAAAGATGGCTTACCATAATGCCTAAACTTGTCGAAGAGGTACATCAAATGTTCATTTTTTCCAAGTATTGTCTTTGTAATGTCAGTGGTGTGTTGAACTGCTTTGGTATGATCAGGAAAAGAAACAAGCAGAGGAAGAAGCTCAGGACCATGCGAATAAGAAGCTTGCTCTGGAGGCTGCTCAAGCGGACAAGGCTAGGGACTTGAGCAACGAAGTAAGCAAACGCAAAACCTTTTTTTTTAGTTGCTGCTCTGTTTCAGGCCATTGATTATACTACAGTAGCTCGAGGTTTGATCAGTTTTTTTGTTTTTTTTTTCTCGTATCTTTAGCTGTATGAGATCGATCTGCAGCTCGAGAGACTCCGGGAAACAGTAGTTCAGAGATGCAGGTACAACTAATCTCTTGAGTTAGTCATTTAACCCTTAAATGAATGTTCTTAACTGAAATTTTCGTTGGATTCTGAAATGAACAGAAAACTGTCTACTCAAGAAAAGAAGGGACTTTCTGCAGCTCTAGGTCGACTCTCTCCTGAGGATTTGTCTAAGGCCCTAAAAATGGTATCAGAGAGCAACCCGAGTTTTCCGGCTGGAGCACCAGAAGTGGAGCTTGACATCGATGTTCAGGTAAACACCAAAATCTTTCTTGATCCAGTTTCTTTTGTTGTGGTTTTGCATCAATTTTTTTGGTTTTTAACGGTTTTTTTTCTTCCTTTTGTGAACAGACTGATGTTACTTTGTGGAGACTGAAGGTGTTTGTGCAAGAAGCATTGAAAGCAGCTAACAAGAGCTCTGGTGGAACAAACGCACAGAACAACAACAATGCTGGAGAGATCAACAAGAACAATGCGAAAAGACGGAGAGAGATCTCTGATGCAATCAATAAAGCTTCAATTAAAAGAGCTAAGAAAGCTTGAATCTCATTTCTTTTCTCTGCATCTCTCTGTTTATTGATCAACGAGGAACAAATGAATTTGGTGAACACCAATCTAAATTAGAGACACCTTCCAGTTCCATTGCGCATTTGGCTTCAAACGTACAAATTGCACAATGTAGATAGATGTACATCTAAAGAAGAATTATACAATGTATGAGACAAAAAAATCAATATGAAACAATATAAAAATATATTGACTCTGAGCTGCAGACGAGATGTTTGAGCCTCAGACTTGTCTATAACAGAGTTTTTTTTTTTTTTAACTAATAGCACTAATCTGCACATATGTTTTTCTCGACTTCAATTTCATTTTCATCATAGATGAATATTTATTCCATTGAACAAAGGTCATTTTGTCAATTTCCAAAGACCCACATTGACAAAGAAGTTAGAAAAGTATATTATCTGTAATTATTAATAACAATGGTTTCTCTTAATATATTATTAGGAGTTTGGAGATTATTCTAGCTTTAGGGCTACTGAAAAGAACAACTGAACAAGTAAGTCAGATGATTTTTGGACTTTTTTTCTGAAATAAAATTGATACAAGTTATCTACAAAAGAAGTGGATAGGGTGAGTCATTGCCACGCCTTTTGTCGAGTAAGTACAATTACCACATCAGAAGCCATGGCTAAGACCTTCTAGTTGTCATTCTCCACATTAATTTGATTTTTACAAGGTCTATATCCACATCACGTTCATAGAGAATTCTCCTTGTAGATACAGTACTTTCGCTTTTTAGCCCACGTAGGTCCTTGCTGAAGTATTTGTGAATCTTTTGCTAATTATTTTCCTTCTAAAAATCAGATTCTGGTGTTAGTCAAAGTTGTATAGTAATCTATGTGATATAAATAACTCCAACATATATATGCTTATAAGCTTGTGATTTGTTATAAATGTTTGTCAAGTAGTGCTTTGACATTACTCTAAACATTATAATGACGCAAATCATGTATTTGTGGTGGTCTAAGGAAGTCATTTTCATACATTGTCGACAAAAGAAAAAGAGAGTCATTTCTCACATCACATGGCGATATCAGATACATGTCATGTGCGTGAATTACTTATGTGGATGAACATTAACTGTAGATATAGTAACTCCAACAGTCCTACGTCTTCTATAAGACTCCAATAAAGTTCCTTATTGTAAATTTCTGTAACGAAAACAAACCTCCTTTTTTTCTGGCAAAAAAGAAAATACTCTCGGAGATGTTGTGTGGTTAAGATTTAAGGTCTGCCGACGTAAAGAAAATAGAGTTAACATCCAGATGTTACCAAGTAAAAATTAATAATCTAACTCACAATAAGACCAACGAATCACTTATAAGAGAAACAGACTTAACAAAAAAAAAAAACACTACGAAATCTAATGTGACTGTAATAATTAAATTCAGCATGTGATTATGCAATTATAAACATGAGCATAAGAGGGACATTACAACAACTTGAAATAGTATCATATAGACATTGATCTCATAATCATTGATCAAACCATCTCCTTCGAAACTCTAACACAACTTACACAAGTTAATTTGATTTTTTATTTCATTCCAAAGATGAGTCCAACCAACAAAAAAGTCAAACAAAAACGACCCGAAAAGCTCCAACATAAAGTAGCTCATATGGATGAGAGACTCTGATCTCATCCTTCGGAACATGACTTATTCAAACATCAATCATATTGAATGGTGGTAAACATGATGCGAAGAGAGGTATTTAATTTTAACTCTAGTATGTAATACGTTCCATGTGATTATTATTATTATTATTATTTTTTGAATAAACTGTATAGATCAATCTAATTGATATACAATTAACCAAATTTTGGCGCGTGCCAACCGTAGTAAACACACATCAAATATTCTCCCTACCTTAAAAGATTCTCATGTGATGAAGCAAATACGTATATCATTCATCAACGCGACATTGACACGGTTTCCTTTTTATAGTTGTTAAACATTATTAGCGAATAAATGATGTAGGAATCGGTCACGTATTTACAGTAATTAGGAGGAAAATAGCCATGATTATTACATTTTACCAAAAAAAATAGCCATGATTATCTAAACATATGCTAACATTTACTACTTGAGCCCACATGACTTTTGCGGGTTACAAAAAAATATTGTTATATTGTTGTTTATGTGATACGCTCAAAGATATGTCGTTATTTAGACTAATTTCAATATTCAGAGATTAGGTGATGAGACCAATTTCACCTTTAATTTTCATATGTAGTTCATATATCTGGTAGATTAAAAAAGAGATTGATTATTGAAAATGAAACAAAATAAGAAATGGAAGATTAAAATATAGAAACAAAAGGATTTGTCGACAAAAAGTTGCGACGAGTCACAAGTAAGCAGGACCAAGAATCGTACGGGTAAAAGCTTTAACAATCGATTGTCAGTAGGTCAGCAGAAAGATGGGACCCATAACTTTCTTAAGTTAAAAAAACCGATGAAAAGGACAATGTGTGCCACGTGTCAGTGACGTGGTCCAACTGCCAATAACCGACACCAACCTCCAACGATATAAAATACATCTTCTCGATATAATTTTTAAAAACTCAAATTCGTTTGACCTTAATCTCTTTAAATGTACAATCCGCCGTGTTAATTGTAGTGGATATAGTGAGACGCAAACTTGAATTCGTTTGACCTTAATCTCTTATATTTCTCTCATAACAAACAAGTATGTCACTACATCAGCATAAAATCTCTTATCGTATAAAAACAAAATACCCTGTCAAACTTCTTATAACAAAATTAACGTGTGTGTACTTTTGTTCTTTAAAAAGGGAATTGATTAAAGCCCGTAGGATAAGCTGAGCCACAAAAGAAATGAAAAATGCAACATTTGACCATGAAATTATGGTAATCACGACGCGTGGCGTAATGTAGCATGTAGGGTAACACTGTTGGGACTGACCTTCGAATTTAGTACGAAACTCTCGACTGGCCCGTGGGTTGCTTTGTCACATTTCATAGTTCTATAATAATTATAAAAAATGTCAAATCTGATGTAAATTTTTTTTTTAGTTGACCATAGTTCGTGAAACCATCGTTCAAAATTATTTATCCTGAAAACTCTACATTAGCATCTCTAATGTATGACTCCATATGTTTCTCTATTTTTGAGTTATATTTTAGAATAACTCAAAAATAGAATTGTATTTTACTCCAATGTAAGCTTCTTTTTTACTCCAATGTAAGCTTTTATTTTACTCCAAAATGGAATTATGACTTAAAAAAATATGAAGAAACTTTATTTTTTGCTCCATATATGGAGTAACTCCATTTTTTATTCCATTTTGGAATGGGATTTGGAATAGGGTTGGAGATAATTTTGCTCCAAACTCTATTTTGCAATGAAATTTGCAGTAGGGTTGGAGATAGTTTTAATACGATATTATCTGTTTTAAGTCAAATCAGCATGATTTTCTTTTTATTTTTTCAAATAATTTTATACTAGTTGAAATTAGGTGATTTTATAGACTGTAATTGATCATTCAACAATTGTCCTCAAATTATTGATTACTTCCAATTTCCAAACAAGGAATGATCTTCACCGTGGAAAGGAATGAGCTGGTTCAAGCGATTCATTTACTTGAGGGAACAAGCTTTATACCTACCAGTCAGTGGCGGAGCCACATTGATGTATATTTCCAAAGCCTTGTGTCATTGCCCCCACTAAGAATATCATATATATCTCTATTTGCCCCCAGTGAAAAAAATTTCTAGCTCCGCCACTGCTACCAATTCATGTTGGAAGAATGTGATGTTTTCAAACTATACTGTTTGTGAATCAGTTAAGGCTCATCAATATGCACTGTTGATGGCGGAAAGTGTTACAAGGGATAGACATCACCAATTGTATATCGGTCAGCCAGATCAACGATGGCTTTAGGATAACTTAACCATGCTAGAATGTCTCTTTAGTTTATTTCCAGCGCCTTGCATCGAAGACCGTTTTTTTGTTTGCCATATTTTTAGTATGTTTTTAGAAACTTTTTTATGTTTCTACATTTGCTATTTGAACCAAAGAAAAATATTATAAATCAGTACTAAAAGAAAAAATATGAGTTTCCAAGGGTTTTTTACATGTAGAATCACTTTTTCAAGTTTCTAAAATTGTTTAATATTTATTTTAAAATTTTGTCATTTTTACCTTACATTATGACGTGTATGTTTGTGTATCGTACATAAAGAATCACTTTTTCAAGTTTCTAAAAATTCTTTAATATTTATTTTAAAATATTGTCATTTTTACCTTTGTATAATATGATGTATATGCTAGTGTATCGTACACAAATAAATAATAAAAATTTCAAAATAGTCATTTATCCGTATAAAAAAAAACATAAAAAAATGACACGCAAATGCCAAAAAGACATGTATTGTATTGTTAGTAATTGTCCCCATATCCACAATCATTAGATATGTTTCAGATTTTTTCTTAAAGGACTATCATTATAAGATTGATATATGGTTAATGATTATATATAAACAACCATCTAGCTTATATAAAATATAGGTACCATATAATAGATAAAAGATTCTTAGATAATTATAAAATATGTAGATGTACACTTTCAATATCTAATTTTACAGTCTCTTATTAAGTGTAAATGTATAAACATATTTGAAAATATTAAATGTAAATCAATTAGGTGGAAGAGAGTTTTCTTCTTTGTGGGGGTAGTGGAAGAAGCCAAGGGGATTGCCACTGCTTCTCTTCTCCTATAAATTGCTTCCATTCTCCTTCTCCCATACCCAACAAAAGCCCAGGAAAACAGTTCTTATTTTGAGGATATCATAATATAATCTGTTGGAATCTGATATTTTATTTTATTTACGGTATGATACAGATAAACCCAAAAAAAAAAACCTGCGATTTTACCTATCTCTCTTCAAGTATTCTCTGTGTTCAAAGCTTCTGGCTTTTCTCTCTAGCCCTCTCTCTAACACTGTTTGATCATGTCTCTCTGGTGTACCTACACGCCCTGTCTGTGAAATATTATGATCTTACGAGATTCTGCAATTTCCTCTCTGATTGATTGTTTTCCTTTATAATCCGGTTTTTGTGACGATTTTTCAGGAGGATATCAAAATTTGTTCAGGTAAACACCAAAATCCGGCTGGAGCTCCAGAAGTGGAGCTTGACATCGATGTTCAGGTAAACACCAAAATCTTCCTTGATCCAGTTTCTTTTGTTGTAGTTTTGCATCAAATTTTTGGTTTTAACGGTTTTTTTCGTCGTCTTCTTCCTTTTGTGAACAGACTGATGTTACTTTGTGGAGACTGAAGGTGTTTGTGCACGAAGCGTTAAAAGCAGCTAACAAGAGCTCTGGTGGAACAAACGCGCAGAACAACAACAATAATGGAGAGATCAACAAGAACGATGCGAAAAGACGGAGAGAAATCTCTGATGCAATCAATAAAGCTTTTAATTAAAAGAGCTAAGAAAGCTTGAATCTCTTTTCTTTCCTCTGCATCTCTCTGTTTATTGATCAACAAGGAACAAATGAATTTGGTGAACACCAATCTAAATTAGAGACACCTTCCAGTTCCATTGCGCATTTGGCTTCCAACGTACAAATTGCACAATGTAGATAGATGTACATCTAAAGAAGACTTATACAATGTATGAGAAAAAAAAATATCAATATGAAACGATATAAAAATATATTGACTCTGAGCTGCAGACGAAATGTTTGAGCCTCAGAGTTGTCTATAACAGAGTTTTTTTTTTTTTTTTTAAGTAATGAGTTTGATCGACATACTTCATCCTACGACAGTATCGAACACGAATGTGTCAACACCAAAGAGACAATATGGAAAATCTGCTAAACTTATTACAAAGATGAGAGCGAGGCCAATCTTAGCACTAATCTGCACATATGTTTATCTCAACTTCAATTTCATTTTCATCATAGATGAATATTTATTCCTCTGAACAAAGGTCATTTCGTCAATTTCCAAAGACCCACATTGACAAAGAAGTTTAGATTAAAGTATATTATCTGTTATTATTAATAACAATGGTTTCTCTTAATATATTATTAGGAGTTTGGAGATTATTCTAGCTTTAGGGCTACTGACAAGAACAAGTAAGTTATATGATTTTTGGACCTTTTTCTGAACTAAAAATGATACAAGTTATCTACAAAAGAAGTGGATAGGGTGAGTCATTGCCACGCCTTTTGTCGAGTAAGTACAATTACCACATCAGATGCCATGGTTAAGACCTTCTAGTTGTCATTCTCCACATGTTCCTATTTTTTTTTTTTTTTTTCATTTGTAAAAGTTATCAAATATTTGGTTTTTACAAGGTCTATATCAACATCACGTTCATAGAGGATTCCCCTTGTAGATCCTTGCTGAAGTATTTGGGAATCTTTTGCTAATTATTTTCCTTCTAAAAATCAGTTTCTAGTGTTAGTCAAAGTGTAGTAACAAATGTTTTCGGATATCTATTTGATATCTTTTTCTATAGATACCTCCAACATATATGCTTATAAGCTTTTGATTTGTTATAAATGTTTGTCAAGTAGTGCTTTGACATTACTCTAAACATTATAATGACGCAAATGATGTATTTGTGGTGGTCTAAGGAAGTCATTTTCATACATTGTCGACAAAAGAAAAAGAGTAATTTCTCACATCACATGGCGATATCAGATACATGTCATGTGCGTAAATACTTATGTAGATGAACATTAACTGTAGATATAGTAACTCCTACAGTCCAACGTCTCCTCTAAGACTCCAATAACAATAATAAAAAAATTCATAATTGTAAATTTATGTAACAAAAACAAAAACTCATTTTTTCGTGCAACAAAAAAGAAGAAGAAGAAAACACTCACGGAGATGTTGAGTGGTTAAGATTTAAGGTCTGCCAGACGTAAAGAAAATAGAGTTAACATCCAGATGTTACCAAGTAAAAATTAATAATCTAACTCACAATAAGACCAACGAATCATTTAGAAGAAAAACAGACTTGACAAAAAAAAACTACGAAATCTACTGTGATTGTAATTAAATTCAGCATGTGATGCAATTATAAACATGAGCATAAAAGGGACATTACAACAACTTGAAATAGTATCATATAAACAATGATCTCATAATCATTGATCAAACCATCTCCTTCGAAACTCTAACACAAGTTAATTTGATTTTATTTCATTCCAAAGATGATCCAACCCAAAAAAAAAAAAAAACGACCCGTAAAGCTCCCATAAATAATATAAAGTAGCTCATATGGATGAGAGACTCTGATCTCATCCTTCAGAACATGACTTATTCAAACACCAATCATATTGAATGGTGATAACTATGATGCGAAGAGAGGTCATTAATTCAATGGAAAAATTATTAAATCTAGTTTGTTCCGTGTATTTTTTTTATTAAAATAAACTGTATACATCAATCTAATTGATATACAATTAACAAAATTTGGCGCGTGCCAACCGTAGTAAACACACATCAAATATTCTCCCTACCTTAAAAGATTCTCATGTGATGAAGCAATATTATCATTCATCAACGCGACATTGACACGGTTCCTTTTTTGTTATAGTTGTTAAACATTATTAGCGAAAGAGACAATCGGTCACGTATTACAGTAATTAAGAGGAAATTAGCCATGGTTATCTAAACATATGCTAACATCTACTACTTGAGCCCACATGAGTTTTGCGGATTAGAAAAAAAAAAATTGTTATATTGTTGTTTAAGTGATACGCTCGGAGATATGTCGTTATTTAGACTAATTTCAATACCAGTTTCCCCTTTGATTTTCTTAGTTCAAATTCAAATATCTGGTAGTTTAAAGAAGAAATTGAAGATGAAACAAAATAAGAAATGGGAAGATTAAAATACAGAAACAAAAGGATTTGTCGACAAAAAGTTGCGATGAGTCACAAGTAAGTAGGACCAAGAATCGTACGGGTAAAAGCTTTAACAATCGATTGTCAGTAGGTCAGCAGAAAGATGGGACCCAATAGCTTTCTTAAGTTAAAAAACCGATGAAAAGGACAATGCGTGCCACGTGTCAGTGACATGGTCCAACTGCCAATAACCGACACCAACCTCCAACGATATCCAATAAAATATTACAGTACATCTTTTCGATAGAATAAAAAAACTCAAATTCGTTTGACCTTAATCTCTTTAAACAATCCGCCGTGTTAATTGTAGTGGATATAGTGAGACGCAAACTTGAATTCGTTTGACTTAAATCTCTTATATTCTCTCATAAAAAACAAGTATGTCACTACATCAGCATAAAATCTCTTATCGTATAAAAAGTTAAAAACAATATACACTGTCAAACTTCTTATAACAAATTAACGTATGTGTACTTTTGTTCTTTTAAAAAGGGAATTGATTAAAGCCCGTAGGATAAGCTGAGCCACAAAAGAAATGAAAAATGCAACATTTGACCATGAAATTATGGTAATCACGACGTGTGGTGTAATGTAGCATGTAGGGTAACACTGTTGGGACTGACCTTCGAATTTAGTACGAAACTCTCGACTGGCCCGTGGGTTGCTTTGTCACATTCTATAGTTCTATAATAATTATAAAAAAAATTATTCTTTAGTTGACCATAGTTCGTGAAACCATCGTTCACAATTCTTATTTATCCTGAAAATTCCACATTAGTACGATATGATCTGTTTTAAGTCAAATCAGCATGAATTTCTTGTTATGTTATTTTTTCAAATAATTTTGTACTAATGGAAATTAGGTGATTTTATAGACAACTATATCATTGTCTAATATTTCCGATGTAGATTTTAATTGATCATTCAACAATTGTCCTCAAATTATTGATTCATTCCAATTTCCAAACAAGGAATGATCTTCGCCGTGGAAAGGAATTAGCTGATTTGAAGCGATTCATTTACTTGAGGGAACAAGCTTTATACCTACCAGTTCATGTTGGAAGAATGTGAAACTTGTCTTGTTTTCAAACTATACTGTTTGTGAATCAGTTAAGGCTGTTGATAGCGGAAAGTGTTACAAGGGATATCACCAATTGTATATCGGTCAGCCAGATCAACGATGGCTTTAGGATAACTTAACCATGCTATAATGTCTCTTTAGTTTATTTCCAGCGCCTTGCATCGAAGACCATTTTTTTGTTTGCCATATTTTTAGTATGTTTTTAGAAACTTTTTTATGTTTCTACATTTGCTATTTGAACCAAAGAAAAATATTATAAATCAGTATTAAAAGAAAAAAATATGAGTTTTCAAAGGTTTTTTATATGTAGAATCACTTTTTCAAGTTTCTAAAATTGTTTAATATTTATTTTAAAATTTTGTCATTTTTACCCTTGTACAGTATGACATGTATGTTTGTATATCGTACACGTAGAATCACTTTTTCAAGTTTCTAAAAATTGTTTAATATTTATTTTAAAATATTGTCATTTTTACCTTTGTATAATATGATGTATATGCTAGTGTATCGTACACAAATAAATAATAAAAAGCTTAAAATAGTCATTTATCCGTATCTAAAAAAACAATAAAAACTTTAAAAAAGTGACACGTAAATACCAAAACTGCTAAAGACATGTATTGTTAGTAATTGTCCTCATATCCACAATCATTAGATATGTTTCAGATTTTTTCTTAAAGGACTATCATTAAAGGATTGATATATGGTTAATGGTTATATATAAACAACCATCTAGCTTATATAAAATATATGTACCATATAATAGATAAAAGATTCTTAGATAATTATAAAATATGTAGATGTACACTTTCAATATCTAATTTTACAGTCTCTTATTAAGTGTAAATGTATAAACATATTTGAAAATATTAAATGTAAATCAATTAGGTGGAAGAGAGTTTTCTTCTTTGTGGGGGTAGTGGAAGAAGCCAAGGGGATTGCCACTGCTTCTCTTCTCCTATAAATTGCTTCCATTCTCCTTCTCCCATACCCAACAAAAGCCCAGGAAAACAGTTCTTATTTTGAGGATATCATAATAGAATCTGTTGGAATCTAATATTTTATTTTATTTACGGTATGATATAGAAAAACCCAAAAGAAAAACCCTGCGATTTTACCTATCTCTCTCTTCAAGTATTCTCTGTGTTCAAAGCTTCTGGCTTTTCTCTTTAGCCCTCTCTCTAACACTGTTTGATCATGTCTGTCTGGTGTACCTACACGCCCTGTCTGTGAAATATTATGATCTTACGAGATTCTGCAATTTCTTCTCTGATTGATTGCTTTCCTTTATAATCCGGTTTTTGTGACGATTTTTCAGGAGGATATCAAAATTTGTTTAACAAATTGAAAAGGAGAAGATGAAGTACGTGCTTGTAACAGGAGGTGTTGTGAGTGGATTAGGAAAAGGAATCACAGCAAGTAGTATTGGTATTCTTCTTCAGTCCTGTGGTCTTCGCGTAACTAGCATCAAAATCGGTATATATCTCTCCTTCTTTGATTCAAGTTCAAATTAATGACGTTTCCTTACGGAGCACTCAATCATTTTGTCTGAATGAAATGAAACCCTTTTTTTCTGATCTCTAGATCCGTATTTAAACTATGATGCTGGAACCATATCCCCTTATGAACATGGCGAAGTGTTTGTCTTGGACGATGGTAGTGAGGTAAGAAATAAGCCAAGTTTCCTCTGTTCTTATACCTTTTGGTTTTGAGAGGACTTCAACTTGAAAAAAAAACCTATTTTGATGGTAATTTTTTTTTTTTAAAGGTGGATCTTGATCTTGGAAACTACGAGAGGTTTCTAGGTTCCACATTAACTCGAGATAACAATATCACTTACGGGAAGATTCAGCAGGTTAACTCCTACATCTCAACTACTCAATGTTTCTTTGTTAGTTAAAGAGATTAATCTGCAACAACTCACAAAAGGTCTATTGTCACAGTATGTTATGGATAAAGAGAGGAAAGGAGATTACCTAGGGGCTACTATTCAGGTAAATGAAAGAAAGTTTCAACATTTTTATTTCATTTTTTCATAAGATTTGAGTTTTAAGATTTGGTTGTTATTGGATATTTAGATTGTTCCTCACATCACTGATGCAATAAAAGAGTGGGTGGAGAGAGTTGCCATGATTCCTGTTGATGGAAAGGAAGGTCCTCCTGATGTTTGCATCATCGAATTAGGCGGAACTATAGGTAATTAAACAAAAACAATAATAGCGAGATTTTGATTTCTTTTGTTATATGAACAGAGAATTTTTTTTTTTTGTGTTTGCAGGAGATTATGAATCCAGGCCTTTCACTGAAGCACTAAGCCAATTATCACACACCGTTGGTAAGAAAATTTCCTCCTCTACCATCACTGATGCAATATTCAATTGAATTGCTTAAATTTTAATTGTTGGTTTATGTTCAGGACGTGAGAATTTCTGCCTTATCCACGTCACCCTCGTGCCTGTGCTCGGTGTTGTTGGTGAACAGGTGTGTATATATATATATATATTTTTACAGAAATGTAGTATGAACTATATAGCTATGTCTTTGAGAAACTTCATTTTTCTGTTTTCTTATTTCAGAAAACAAAACCAACACAGCACAGCATTAGAGATCTACGAGGCTTGGGCTTGATGCCTAATATCATAGCTTGTCGAAGCACAAAGGTTTACTTGTTCATTTTGGTGTTATCTCCTCTATTCTATTGTAAAAATTGAACTCTTAATTTTCTCTTTTCTCTGATAGGTACTTGATGAGAATCTAAAAGCAAAGCTATCTCGATTTTGCTATGTTCCGGTAATGATGCATCCTGTTTTTAGTTTCCCTTGTTGTCTTTTTGTACTCGATTTTTTGTTTTTTTTTTTTTTTTTCTAATCAGCTTCCACACTTGTTGTTTTCAGATTGAGAATATCTTCTCTCTCTATGATGTTCACGACATCTGGCACATTCCTTTGTTGCTCAAGGTACGATTTTTCAACTACAGAATTATATCATCTAAGTTATGAAGAAAATCATCAAAGGCAACACTTCTCTTTGTCCCTTGAAACAGGAACAGAATGCTCATGAAGCAATCTCAAAAGTCCTTAACCTTGCTGGTATTGCTAAAGAACCTTCTCTAGAGAAATGGGCTTCAATGGTGGAAGTTAGCGACAATCTACATGTACCGGTGGGTCTCAAATCCCAAACAAATCGCATAGTGTGTAGCCTTGATGTCTCTTTCTTAACCCACCAAGTCAACATTTTTACAGGTGAGAATCGCTGTCGTGGGGAAATATACAGACCTCTCAGATGCCTATCTCTCTGTCTTGAAGGTAAAAACTTATACATCGCTTTCTCTCATGGCACATTGTTCCCTTGGTATGGTTTAATGTTTACGTGACTTCCTGGCCATGTCTCGTTGTTTTTTCTCGTCAACTTGTGTAGGCCCTCTTGCATGCTTCTGTGGCATTTGGCAAAAAGCTTATAGTTGATTTGGTTCCATCTAGTGATCTCGAAAAGACCACAGAGAAAGAGGTAAACAAATCCGATTAATACTTATCGCTCTGTTCTTGAAAACTCTAAAAACAGAATTTGTGTTTTCTTTTGGTGCAGAATTCACTCGCATACGAGGCTGCATGGAATTTACTGAAGGTTTGTTTAACGTTTTGACAATTTCACTGGTTTAAGCTTTTTGAGAAGCCTCTTGTGAGATCGTGTGTTTTTGAACTTCAGGGCGCAGATGGAGTTCTTCTCCCTGGAGGGTTTGGTGATAGAGGAGTGGAAGGGAAGATACTTGCAGCAAAATATGCCCGAGAGAACAATGTCCCTTTCCTCGGTATCTGTCTCGGGATGCAGGTCGCTGTCATCGAGTATGCACGCTCGGTTCTCTGCTTGCCTGATGCAAATAGCACAGAGTTTAAACCTGAAACCAATGATCCATGCATCATTTTCATGCCCGAAGGCTCCAAGACTCACATGGGAGGCACAATGCGTTTAGGCTCAAGAAGAGCCTATTTCCATGTCAAGGACAGCAAATCTGCAAGACTGTAAGAAACCAATCATCGATCCAAATTACTCTTTGAATGTTTTAGATTACTTATGTAAACCTCTTACAGATATGGGAACAACGAGTTTGTCGATGAGAGGCATCGCCATAGATACGAGGTACGAAATAGTTGAATAGTAATTACACATTTTGGTTTCCTAAAGCTTGGCCTTTTCTTCATACTGATGATGTACATGAACTGCTTTCTTGCAGGTGAATCCTGATATGGTTGCGTCCCTGGAGAACGCAGGTCTCTCTTTTGCCGCAAAAGATGAAACTGGCAAACGCATGGAGGTTTGATTTGTCTTAGCTACATTATGAATTTAAAATATGTTTGTTACCATCAAGCTTACATCTTTTACATGATATCCTTATATTGCAGATTGTTGAAATTCCAAGCCACCCTTTTTTCATCGGTGCTCAATTCCATCCTGAGTACAAATCAAAACCCGGGAAGATATCTCCTTTGTTCTTAGGTCAGAATTCTTGTCGAGATTTCAATCAAAAGCTTCAAACTTTTCTTTTAATCTTTTCAGCAATTCTCAACCAAATACAAAATCTTGTTTGCAGGGCTAATCGCTGCATCCTGTGGTGAGCTAGATGCAGTCCTGAAACCAGTTTCCATTCACCAAGACAACAACCAACTTATGGCACAAGGAAAAGAAACAAGGGTTGATCCTAAAACTGGTTCTTGTAATGGAGGAAGCAACAAGAAATCTCAGAAACATCTTGTCCGATGTAAGACATGACAGTTACTTCAGTGACCTCTTTCTCTCTTTTTCCCTCCATCCGATTTTAAATTAACCATTGATCTGATTTTAGGCTTCTTAACGCCATAGAACTGATTTTTGTTCCATCTTTATGATCTTTTTCTCTTTATCTAGGATGTTCTCTGTACAGCTGCAATAAGCTCTAGAGTCGGATTTCAGACCCCCAACAAAACTAAGTATTTATTTTTATTTTTGGAAGAATCAAGAAACATCTCAAATCGAAAATTTTGCCGGATGTCATATGGATCATATGTATACTGTATATACCGTATAAGCTCTTTATACCGTATAAGCTCTCTGTTCAAGTTTTCCATAAGGTATTTGGTTTGTGAAGAAGCATCAAGCATCTGATAAAACTGCAAGAGGCAAAATTGTAACCATTTATTTTAATCCCATTATATCTATCTATATATATAATAATAATAATTAAACTCCATGAAGATTGTGCCAATTATGAGTCGAGCATATCAGTACTTGTTGATTGTGTTTAAAGTTAGCGGGTTCGAAACTGAAAAAATATAAGACCTTTTTGGGGTTTATAAAGAAGATTTTCGGGGTGGGAAAATCAAACGAATCGAAATAGCCGAACCAAACCGGATTCCTGAATCCAAAATCGAACTGAAGTTTGTTACCTCATATAATTCGGTTCTAATTTTCAAAGTCCAAAAACCCAAAACCCAACAATTTCCAAACAAAACCAAACCAAACCAAAGGAGGAAGAAGAGAGATGGCACAAAAATGCAAATAATATAAAAGTAGAGGTTAAACTCGTCATTCACTGAAAAGAAACAAGGTACCGTGGGCTTGGGATCATCCGCTGATTCGTTTCAGTTAAAAACAGTGTGCGTTTCGTTTGGCTTTGGCGGTTGTTCTCCAACTTCCTCGTCTTCTGTTGTTTCTTTGTTCTGTCTCTGTCTCTGTTTCTGTCTCATACTCTTTATTTTATTCTTATTTTTTAATATAAAATAAAGAAATTTGGTTTTCCATTTTCTGAATATACGGTTCAATAAATCGGGAGATTTGATTTAAAGACACTTCCGCACAAGTTTTTTTTTTCATTTCCGAATCTCAACCGATCCTTTTGAGGTGAACTCATATCGTTCCTCTATCTCTTCCAAGACTATTATAACCCATTAAAATGATTATTTTAGTTTCCTTCTGTTGATGATGAGTTTTTTATATTTTTGTGTGTGGATATATTCGGTTAGCTTTTTGTTTGTCTCGGTTGCTTCTCCTTTATTCATTACTAAGTCAATTTATCCCTTATGTCCAAATTAGGGTATTTACTTTTATTGTAACCGCCTATTTCAATATTTATACCTCAATTGGGAAAATACATTTTGAGCTGTCGTTGTGATTTTCTTATGAATAACCAGAAAGTTTTAAGCTGGTATATCTCCTAGTTCCGGTCCAATCCAGCCTTTAATATTTTTACTCGTCATACCTGTCATTTGATATGTGACCTCTTACCGGATAAGATAAAGGTTCTAAGTTGGTACATCCTGGTTCCGGTCTAGTCTTTTATATCTTTACTCGCCCCACCTGTCATTCGGCGTATCACTCAATCTATAACATCTTATCGGATAAGGTACCTTTCCAGTCGAGCTATCGACCTCTGGTTGTCTTAAGTTCGCACATCTTCAGTTTTAAAATTTCTTTATCTATAATGAATTTGTTTACCCTACATATTTGTTGATGACCCCCTGATTTATTATTTTGGGTATTGGATTTCGGGTCAGGGTTCTTTGATCCCCTGGTTACTAACAACATTGTTGTCTTCTCGTTCTTAGTAGAGTCCTCTAGTTTTGTGGAGTGAAGTGATTAGTTTGAATTCAATGGAACGTTTCAGTGTTGCTGCATCAGAATATCATCTCAAAGAGGTTAGTTTTTGAAGATGATTCATCATTAATTGCGTGTTATTTCATTTTTTATTGCTACAGATCTTACATTATATTAAATACTTGGTTTAACAATATTGAGACCATAGATTAGGCTTTGCATTGTGTTTTTGGTATTAAATGTCACTCCATTACTTAATTGATTTACTAATGTTGATCCTGAGTCCTGATTTCTCCCACACCGCACTTGGTTTCACATTCATCGATAATTGTTGTTACTTGGATTTATGGGAAACCCTAATCTGCGATTTTTCCAACAATTTTTTTATTATTTTTCTCAGGACAAGGACACTAACGTAGAACCTCCTAATAGTCCGCGTCATAGAAAGGTAAGAAAGAACTGATTTTCGAGGCATAAACTTGTTATTGATCTTATGTAGTCAAGGCTTAGCAAAACCGCTTTTTCTTCCGTGTGATAGGTTCTTGCTAGATGGGACCCGGCTAAAGCGAAGAGGCCAGTCATTGATGAATCTCCTGTATTCTACCCTTCATTAGAGGTACTGACTCTTCTCCTTCATGATTTTTTTTTATTGATGTTTTTTTTGTTCTTCCTCATTTATTTATTGTACATTTTGGTGTTTAGGAGTTTCAAGATACACTTGGTTACATAGAAAAGATACGTCCATTAGCTGAATCATTTGGTATATGTCGAATAATACCACCGTCGGGTTGGTCTGCTCCTTGTCGGCTTAAGGAGAAAAGTTTATGGCAGGGTACAAAATTCCCCACCCGTATTCAGAATGTAGACCTGCTTCAGAACAGAGAGCCCATGAAGAAGAAGAAGAAACCTAGAGGAAGGAAACGTAAACGAAGAAGAAACTCAAGAAAGGGTTCCTCTGTCTCTGAATCTGAATCAGTTGCGACCAAACAGAGATTTGGTTTCAACTGTGGTTCAGATTTCACTCTAGAGGAGTTTTTGAAATACGCTCTGTATTTCAAAGACTCCTACTTCGAAAGGAAATCTCCTTCTGTTGAAGAAGTCGAAGGAGAATATTGGCGCATAGTCGAGCAACCAACTGATGAAGTTGAGGTACATGATATGTTTTTTTTGGTCGTTGTTTAACTAATTACACACAAACCAGACTTGTTTGTGTCCAACAACTTTGATGATACGATTTCTCGTTGCAGGTATACTATGGAGCAGATTTAGAGAATCAAGTACTAGGGAGCGGATTCCACAACGGAGTGGAAATGCTAACAGGAAAGAGTGAAGTAGACAAATACATAGTTTCTGGTTGGAACCTGAATAACTTACCTCGTCTCTCTGGCTCTGTACTCTCCTTTGAGCCTTGTGACATATCGGGTGTTCTCGTGCCATGGCTCTACGTTGGGATGTGTTTCTCCTCGTTTTGTTGGGTAAAAATGACACTTTCACTTCTAAAATCATTTTTTATAACTCCATTTTCACAACTTAACCTAATGTTTTGATGTTTTGATTGGAAACAGCATGTCGAGGACCATCACTTATATTCGATGAACTATCATCACTTTGGCGAGCCAAAAGTATGGTATGGAGTACCTGGAAGCCACGCAACCGCACTCGAGAAAGCCATGAGAAAACATCTACCAGATCTCTTCGATGAACAGCCTGATCTACTTCATGGACTGGTTACTCAGTTTTCTCCTTCGATTTTGAAAGACGAGGGAGTCCCGGTTTATCGGACGGTTCAGCATGCAGGGCAGTATGTTGTAACATTCCCTAGGGCGTATCACTCTGGATTCAACTGCGGAATCAACTGTGCAGAAGCTGTGAACGTGGCTCCTGTTGATTGGTTACCTCACGGACAGAACGCTGTGGAATTATACAGTCAAGAGGCTAAGAAAACGTCTCTTTCTCATGACAAGCTTCTTCTTGGAGCAGCTCTTGAAGCTGTTAGGTCTCTCTGGCAAATCTCTGCTCGTGGGGAACAAAATGATGCAGAGAATCTAAGGTGGAAAAGTTTCTGTGGTAAGAATGGAACTCTTACTAAAGCAATGGAGACTCGGTTAAGGATGGAACAGGGAAGAATTGAGTCTCTTGGAGATGGTTTTAGATTGCTAAAGATGGACAAGGATTTTGATTCAAACTGCGAAAGGGAATGCTTCTCTTGCTTTTATGACTTGCATCTCTCTGCTTCTGGCTGCAAGAAATGCTCTCCTGAAGAATATGCTTGCATGAAACACGTGAAGGATCTTTGTTCATGTGAAGGGAACGATCGGTTCATACTTGTTCGTTACACCATAGAGGAGTTGAGCTCGTTGGTCAGAGCATTGGAAGGCGAAACAGAGGATCTTAAAACTTGGGCTTCCATAGTCGCGCCAAAGAAAGAAGCTTTTGATCTGAATCTTGACTATCAAATGGAAGACGAGATTAATGCTTCTTCAGAGACCAGCGATGATGCATCCATGAAGAACTTTGTTGCCGATGTCGAGCCTATAAATCTTGGGTTCTTGGTATTCGGAAAGCTTTGGAGTAACAAGCATGCTATATTTCCAAAAGGTAGGTGCACCTCACTAAACTCTCTTTTTAGCGTAACGAGTTTAATTAATGCAAGAAGAGCTTAAGTTGGTGACGGTTTGTTTACTTTTTTGTATTGTAACAGAGTTTAAGAGTCGGGTTAAGTTCTATAACGTGCAAGATCCAACGAGAATGAGCTATTACATCTCTGAGGTTGTAGACGCAGGACTTATGGGTCCACTCTTCAGGGTAAAAAGCATGTTACCAACGTTCTTATAATTAGTTCGTGTTCTGTTTTGAAAAAAATATGAAATTTGCCTTACATTGTTGTTTGTGGTGTCAGGTTACTCTGGAAGAATCTCAAGACGAGAGCTTCTCTAATGTCTCAGCTCAGGAATGCTGGGAAATGGTGTTGCAGAGAGTTAACGAAGAGATAAAAAAACACAGCAACCAAGAACAAAATGTTCATACTTTGGAAAGCATCGATGGGCTACAAATGTTCGGTTTTCGCTCCCCGTCTATCATTCAGGTACATCTAATAACAACTAGGAGGGTGCCCAATTGTTTTCAGCTTATGAAGTACAGAAATCTAATGCATACCAAAATATTTTTTTTTTGTTATCGGTTTTCTTACACAACAATTTATCATCTACAGGCAACAGAGGCTCTTGACCCGAATCATCGCCTAGTAGAGTACTGGAACCATAAGAAACAGAGGGATTCACTGGAAATGAAAGATTGCTTCATGTCAAACCCTTCCCCGAGCTTAACCAGAGGAAAACTTTTTGGAGTCTATTTGAAGTGAAGTTGAAGAACAAAAGGACCATCATCAAGAAATGCCGCAGAGGATTCTAGTTAGAAAAAAAAAATATTGTTAGTTGGGGTTGGCTTAATGATTTTTTCATTGAATTCGTTTAGTGAATTCATTCGCTGATCAAGGTCGTGACGAACAAATTGTAACCTGTGTTGTTCAATGACATTTATTTAGTTTAGCTCAGGGAAGCTTTTTCGCTAAGCAGATTTGTTTTCGTAGAATACAAAAGTACGAACGAATCTCATCTCCTGGCAAAGAAAAAAAAACTCTGTTTTGGTCTTTGGAGAATAGTTCGTCGGAATTCATGATCTCAGTTGGAGAATAGTGTTAGTTGGAGAATTTAGTGTCAAGCAGATTGACCGATAAGTTGGAGTGGGCCCAATTCGGGTTTGTCTTATTCAGCTGTAGAAACAAATAGTAAAACTTGATAACCGGACAAACTAAGTCTCTGATTTAGGCCCACATCGTTGATCGTTGTGGTCTAGTGGTAAAACTTGATAACCGGACAAACTAAGTCTCTGATTTAGGCCCACATTGTTGTCGTCTAGTGGTAAGAAGACCCACACATCCAGATTCAATCTTCCTTAGAAACAAAAACACAATTACCTGCAATCTGGGCATTAGTCGGAAGACATTTCAAACTCGAAACAAATAGTGTGGTGGCTCATTTGGATTTCATGTCCCGTTGACTCAAGTTCGTTTGAAATTTATAATGTCCATTAAACCGTTGAATCAAGAAAAAGTCTATACTATAACACCACAGTGCATTTTTACTGGGGCCAACCGAATCAACCGATAGTATTTATAAAAAAAATCTCTAATATAAATCACATTGTATTAGACTATTCAGTTTTTTTTTTGTCGAAAACTATTATTCAGTTTCCTTTATCTTTGCAAAAACCAGGGTTTTTTTACCTTTTTCTTTGTTGTTCTTTCCCGGTACAAAAAATTGAAATCACTAGTCTATTTGTTTCTTGATATATGTTTGGTTTCACTTGACGACTGGGTCTGTTTACCAGTATATCTTTTATTCTTTGGATAAATTAATTCCATTGTAGAAATATCTTTTAGTATGTTAGAGAAATAATTTTGATGGATATGCATCCCAACGTAATAATAATTAGTTTTTATCAAAAAACAAACATTTAAATAATTCGTTTAAAAACAAACATTTAAACACTCTCATAAGTTACATGATCTTTGACTTTGTGAATAGAGAAGCAAGAATTGCCGAATTGGTGAAAAGTAGGAGGGACACAGTTTTCTAAAAAACTATAGAAATTTTCACTTAACTATTTCGACGGTCAACCATATGAATTGGAATTACCATGAAATTACAAAAACAACACGAACTTGAGCCAAACATTTATCTAACATACGCCGTCGATTCGCACTCCTAAGTCTCAACTTCATCGACATAAGAGTAAGAGTGAGGAAGATATCCGATGCTAGGAGCTCAAATCGAATTCTTTATTTATTAGATCAACATTGTGTTACACTACACCGTTACACCACATATCTTAATTAAAATTTTCAGTTTTCATAAGAACTCATGCTAGTATTTCATTTCATCTAGTAGACTAGTACACATGATCATTATCGATCATACCATGAGTTTATTCCAACGGGATAACTATAATTATAATTATTATAACGGCGTTAACCATCAAACTCACGGAGGTGACGGTGCGAGGAATGGCAGGGGAGGAAACCTAAAGCCAGGGAAACCGGGAAGAGATGTCGGAGGTGATGAAGATGACGGTGACGGTAACGGAAACGGTAAACCTGGAACGTTTCTAGGGAACGGAGGGAAAAGTGACGGTAATGGTGGAACACCGCCAAAGGGCAAGCCTGGTGGAAACAGGTATTTGGCTTCGTCGGTCGGATTCTGATCGTTGAGGCGACGAGCTGCGGTTGTTCCCGGCGTGAAGTGGAAGATCAAGATTAGGGTTAGGGCTAAAGTGGTGACTGAAGAAGCCATTTGTTTATGTGATTTTTTCTTTTATGCTTCTCTCTATTGTAATAGCAGATGTTTAGTGAGAGTATATATAGGCCATTTTTTTTTCACAGATAACGAGCTTTTTTATTTATTTAAAAAACTGTATATATTTTACCAACCATGTATCTGCATATTGTAGATTGCAGTCACTTGTGACACCATATATATACAAGTCACTTATAAGTTGGATTAGCTAGGGAATTACTCTCTCCCACGTTATTAATTGATGTTAATGTTATGGAGTGAATTTTTCTATACAGTACTACAATAAATTGGTAAATACTTTTAAAATTTGATGTTTCAGTCTCCTTTGTTTACAATTATTTCAGAGAGGGTTAAGGCAAATTAAATAATTTGAACTAGAGTAGGTTTTAAAATAAATATAATGTGAATATTTTCAAATAGAAAAAAATTGATGAGTAATTTTTTTTTGAAATGTAAATCTGTAAGTGAAAACAATCGTATATGACTTTGGATGTAAGAAAAAAAAAGCCGTGTATGACATTCATAATGTTAATATCTTTAACATTTTAAAGCATGTAGATATACACACACAGAGACACAATTAATTGGTGCCAAGATTTGTGTAACATCGTATGTACCAAATTTGAAAATAGGTGGACTGATTTAACAACTACAAATGCATGTGTATCGCATGTTGGCTGTTGCATACTTTCCAAAAAAGAAAGAAGTAATTTTAACATGAAATTTGGTTGAAGAAAAAGAGAAACTTGACAACTGACTAATTTATAAATAGTAAATATAGAGGCATGCACATGAACATGTGTCTCTCATGCAGCTTGATTAGAGCTCATTGAATTCGTCTAATTATATCAAAACCGGCTGAATGTTCACATGTTAACATTCACATTTCACTATCTTATTTATTATAAAGAATCTCTTACTATGAGTTATGACTATTTTTTTACTGAGTTTCTTACAAAATTAGTCATAATCAGCCAGCAAACAAACAAAAATTTAAATAGGCGCTGTTTGTTATTTTTGTTTTTGTTTTGTCGTCAGGCTCCGTTAATTTATTCTTAAGAAGCGATTTATGTGTACAGATTATGTCGTCATTTATAAATCATTTGTGTGTGACGAATACTAGTTAAAGAGAATAATTGTGTATGTATGATTGTATAGGCCAAACAAAATAAAACAAGTGTATGTATAATTGTAAGTGTGTGAGATTGATGAGGACATTAGTAAGTATATGTGCATGAGAAGGCCTAAATGGCGTAAGTAAGCAGGCGAACAAGACATAAGTAAAATATGCCCCATGAGAAGAGGAAAGATAAAATGGAAAATAGCTTTGAGAAAGAAAAAAAAACAAGACAAGTAATAAGAAGTTCTAGAAGGCATAAATAATTGTTGTAAATGTTCATGGCTTTGCATGTTTGATGAATTGTTTTACTGAGTTGTTGAATGTTATGTCATATGTGTGGTAGTGTTCAAGTATTGATGCAGTTTGTATGTAAGATTGCATGTAGACGATAATGATTGTCTTTACTAAGTATTTTCGTACTCACCTCTCTTTTAATCTTGCAAGTAATGTTCACACTAGGATGCATTATATAAGTCCAGAATTGGGTGTTGATTTTATATCGGATTTATAGAATTTGTTTATAGGTTTATAGAATTTACAAACCCAAAGCTCGCAGCATTACAAAAACATGTTCTTGAAATCGTCACATTCTTCTATAGCTTTCCATGCATCGGCGATGTGTTAGTTTGTCTTCCACTCCCTGTCCTCATAACTGTTTGCTGTGTGTTTAAAAACATATTTTCAATAACAATCTGCGAGAATGTCAAGAGATTGAGAAGGATCAGAGAAAAGGAACACGCTTTGTCCCCATGAAGCTTTTAAATCGTAAACGGATCAATAGTCTTTATGTGGAGATGTAACAAAAGGACCTTGTTACCTGCTCACGAATTGGGAAGAAGCCGACCATTGTACATCTTGTCGAGTAGCTCACGAGCACCAGGCCTTCTAAGAAGGCCTTTGTTGTTTGGTAAACCTGTACCCAAACAGACCGGACAAACAAGCTTGCCTCGACCTGTTTTTGCAAATATGACCACCAATTAATCAGTGAAATTTTGCTCATAACCAAACCAAAGAAATATTGGGAAAGAGATACAAACCGTAACAGTTTGGACATTCTGTAAACTCATATACATCTTTTGCACGTTTTCGGTTAAGAGCTTTCCATTTTCCTGTACCACCACACATATCACCTAAATCATAACAAATGGAAAAAAATAAAGGAACTCAAATTAAAACCATATAGACATCAGTATCAAGCTCATGAGGCATTTTGCAGCATATTAAATGGAAACAGAAATTCATTATGACCTTTAACATAGCAAGGAGTCAGAGTGATCACATAGCAATAAGAGTTCACTATGGTGAATGTGTTTGTTTCAGTTTACTCTTTTGAACGTCACAATTTGGTCGTACCGGAGGACAAAAAGTTACTAATGAAACACAAGGCAAATAATACCTACTAACAATTTACAGTCAAGGATATGTTTGTGTATCAGATTCCTTGAAAAGAAACTAAACTGATAAAAAACAAACAAAGAAGTGACACTCACAAAGAACAGCACCAATGCCCTGACAGTTTCGGCAAACTCCTGGTTTCTTGTCTAAAGCGGCTGCGTTTTGTACAGAGACAAGGGTATAAGCATTGCCAATCAAAGCTGGAGATAAGCACAAACATGTCATCCACTGTCTCCGTGACATCGATTTCTGATCCTCCTGCAGCCCAGAACACAAGCCTGTTGAGTTACCACTTCATTTTTAACTGATAGCAGAAATTAAGACTAAGACTTAGCTTAATGGAAGCACTTGCATACACTAGCTCAGCTCTTAAACAGTAACAAAGACACACTATTGTTGATTTAACCAGTTTGTAGCAGAAGTAAAGAGTAAGACTTGAAATTGTTTCTTAGCATCAGAATAGAAGCAATAACATAGCTATTTAACTAGAGAATGTAACCAATCAAGTAGGTCGTTGTTGTAAGGTTAACTAATAGGAGTCACCAAATTAAACAATAACAGAGATACGCTGTTTAGTTGCTTATTATCATTAGATTCATTAGTGAATCTGATAAATTAGATAGCACAAAAATGTTTAAAGTCAAGAAATTAAAGATAACAAAAAACTTGTGCAGATGATACAAATGCTTGGAAGGAGAAGAAAAAGATACGAACTTTTACAAAAATAGGGAATTGGACATTCAATTTCCTTAACCAGAGATATTTAAAAAAAAAACTCATACTTTGCAGAAAAATCAAAGAGGAATTGAAAGTGATATCTACACGAGAAAACCTCAGCTGATACAGTAACAAACAAGAATATTGAATGAAGAAGGCCAATCTATATAATATCAACCTGCGTTTTGTTGGTAGTCTCCGACGAAGAATCCAGTTCGTTGGAATCGAAGCTCTGGTTCTCTGGGCATGATTTCGCATTGATACGAACTCGATTCCGGTTTGGTGCGGCTAAACGAAAACACGAGTGCCACAAAATTGGGATGAGAAGAAGGATTATATCAACAATGTCGAAAGCGAATAGAGAGATAAAAGATGTTACAGAGAAACGGAGAAGCTGTATGCAGACGCGAAGGGAGTGCAAAGAGATGAGATGAAGCCGCCATTTTCTGTATGCGGTCATAATTTTACAGCCCGACCAGACCAAACTATATCTATATGTTTTTTTTTTGTTACACAGATTTTATTATTTTAACAGCCTCGTAAAAAAAAATTTCTTTTTTTGCCATCCATTTTAAAGTTTCGAATAACCATTAGGCTTTCTTGTTCCTCCGTTTCTGTTTCTGGGTCAAGTTTAGATTCAGTAACATTTTTCCTTTCTATTGTACTCTGATGAAACTCGGATGTTCAGGCTGAAATTCCGATTTGTGTCCGTGTTACATATGCATATGTTCGTACCCAATTTGGAGCTACTTTGAATTTGCAAAGGTGCTTAAACACAACATAGTTTTCTAGGAATTTCGAATCTGCTGAAAATTCTCTAACCATTCGAGATCTGAATCTTTTGCAGCTGAACTGAACTAGGTTGTGTACTTTCAGGTAGACCAAGAATCCAAGGGAGGCAAAACAGAACCATGTCTTTTGAAGGTGAGAGGATTAATACTTTCAAAATTAAGCTAAGTTTGAAATTTAACGACAAACAAAATTGAGTGTGAGAAGTGTGGAATTTTATATAATGAGATTAATAAATGAATCTGGTTCATATATTGAGTTCATAAAGACAAGACAATATGATTGTTCTGGAAAATTTACCGTTTAGAAAAAAATTATGCGCCTATGCGGTTATGCAAAACGATCCTGCACATCTTTTTTTAGCTTGAATCATGGAAAAGTCTTCAGGCGATCGATTGAACCGCTCTCTCGAAGTTATCTTCAGCTGATGATACACGCTTCACAAGCACGTGTCCTGGGTGTGAAAGTTTCAGCTGACTGCAAAAAAGATAGGAGATACAAATGAATGAGACGAACCAATTTTTCTATAAACGACAAAGGACACCATTACTTTCAAACTAAAGTTTCAGAGATTTCGATGGATTGAATTGGGACACAATGCGAGCAGATAATGAGAATTTACCTAAGGTAGCGTGAAGATGATTTCCCAACATGAAGACTGCACACAACAAGGTTTGCAAGCGTTTCTGGATCTTTGGCATCCTGCAATCACCAAAAAATTAGTGTAAACACTTGCCCATATACAGAAAAGCCAAGAAACTAGTGTAGTGTGTGAGATGTTAAGCGACGTCTCTAGTTACGTATGATTTCTTAGAATGCGTATGTAAGGTACGCAAGCCTAATTTTAGTTACCTTGTTGAGTGCTTCAAGCAGTAGCGTTTCAGCTTCATCAAAGTTACCCATTTGCATACAGCTAACTGCTTTCCCATTCAAGATCAAGCATGTCATCGGATACTTCTCAGAGAAATCCTGGAAAATGAGATAAGCTTCCTGTATCTTCGAGCCACCCTGAAGTCATAGGATGTCTTAGTATAAAAAAGGAAAGACGGACACTCAAGACAAAAATCAAACAGAGTATTTACCACTGCAAGGTTAAACCACGCGCTAGCAAGTTGAGTGAGAGTGTGGTCTTCGTCATATTGTTGCATCACTCTAAGCTGCTTCTCAGCATAATCTGATCTGTTCATCTTAATGAATATCTGGACATTCAAGGCATGCCTAAAGATACAGGAGCAATGAGTAATCTAAGAGGATGGGAAAATGCTCAAATGCAACAAAGAAAATCGAAAAATCTTACAGATCCATGGTTCCTCCAGCATGGGTGTGCTTCAGAGCTTCGTTATAATCTTCCTCATGCATGAAAATAATACCAGCAATCAACCGCAAAATAGCATTGTTTCCTATAGTTGAATCAGCCAACCATTCCTTCAAGCTTGAAATGGTTGATTCCTGACCAAGAACACAGAACAAACTCAGAAACATATATCTTCATAAGAGCATATAGACAATACCAGTTTAATCCAACGAAACTAAGGAATGCATACATTGACCATGAATTACATTCTGCCAAAGAAATTAAACTCCACGAACCACGACACAAGATGAAAATGAAACTATTTTGTATAAGATTGATATATACCAATTCAGAATTCGAGTCTCTTTGCAGAAAAAATCAAAATTCTGCTATTTACATGTTTTGGAACACAAATCAAAGCCGAATAGAAGATGAAAACGAGGAGAGCCGTCTAAGAAACTTTCCGAATTACCTTATTTGCAGGACTCGATAGATACATAGCGAGGAGTTTTACTGCTTGTAGTGAAGTGGCGGCTGCGTCATCGATCTCACTGATGACAAGCTTAGAACACAAAATTCGAAGAACAGATCAAAACAAAACGAAATCCAATTTGAAAAGAAGAAGACATCATAGAGATGAATAGCGAGGAAGGAAAACCTGATAGCTACCGAGGGCAATGTAAGAGCGGAAGACGAGGCAGTCGCGTTCCACGGCATCCTCCGGCGAGAGGTTAGGTATCTCGCTGTTGTTGATCGCCGTTTGATAAGCTCCCAAATAAAAATTGTTTCTCAGGTTGAAAAGATGATCTGGTCCTGCTGCCATTGCTTGCTTGCTTCTTCTTCTTCTTCCTCTAGATCTCACAGATCCGAAGCGTCCAATGACTCTGAACAGAAAAGGAAAAACAATAACTGATTACATGAGGGTTAATAATGTTTTAATCCCTTAAATCATAAATCTTATGCATAAGACCCGTATTCTTTTGAATTGTACAATTGATACCCTAGATTTAATTTGGGTCTATAAAGAATCAGGATCAAACATTCATGGGCCTATATTGAATCAGGTTCTTTAATTCATGGGCCTTTATTTAGTGTTATGAGCTTCAGTCTGTTTTTTTAAGCTTTTGTCTATATCAGTAGCTTGAATCCTTTTGTATTCATAAGTCAGTTTCTAATTTTAAGCATATCATCACTACTCGACAACATATCAGACATGCTTAAATTCGTGTGCTACGGTCGGCCTAGATAAATTTACATATATATATATATATATATATTTTTTTTTTGGGCTCAAACATACTGATACTGACTTCTTTATTTAAAATACTTGCAAAAATTAACAAATTAAATTTTCCTTGGAAATCTAGAATAAGTAGATTCTCCTTCTCCACCAACCAATGGAAAATGGTGAATTGGTGATGATAAATTTAAATATATAACTTATTATATATACATAATTCTAATAAAATATAAGTAGAAGAGGATGACTATTGTTTTCTCTATGAACTTGAGGAGCACTTAAAGGGCATGGTCGATTTTACGTAAAGTCACTACTCATTTCACATGTGCAAAGAAGCCCTCGTGCTACACATCTCAATAACATAAATCGATGTGTAATTTAACCACAGAATTTTTTTTTTTAATTTAAATATGACAACCCTTTATAAAAAAAAAAAATTTAACCACAGAATATAAATAGTTAACCACTTAAACCTCTAATTAATGTTAGTACAGATGACGTCTTGCAATTCTCGATGTAGTGTTTTTAGGCTTTTAGCTGTAATAGAATAACAGTATGAGATGTGTCAATATATTGACTATACACATTTTATATATACTTTAAAATTAATGTTAAAAAAAGTTGATGACAAATTATCTTCGAACTGGTCATAAGTATACGCCAAAAATATCCATGTGTGGTAGTAGTTGTATTGGATTTAGCTTAAAAGCATACACTCACTACAATCTCATAGTAGACTACAAATGGTGGTAGTATTGATATATTGAATACACACATTTTATCATAAAACTAACTGTTTTCAATATAGTGTTTTAATTTTAGTAATAGTAATATTGATCAAAATCAAATAATTGAAACGTAAAATTGATGACAAATTTGTTTGTCAAATTGGTCACAATTGTATACGTAAAAAAAATACTCATGTGGATGTGGGGTTGTATATATATTGTGGAATTGGATTTAGAGCTAAAATCATAAACTCGCTACAAATCTCATAGTAGATGCAAACACTGCATAAGGGTCATTTTAGCTGGATGTTTTACTCGTGGTTGACTTGCAAAAACTTTATTGCTAAAGCCTGCTCACCTCCAGAATCAAGTAAGCATTTTGGGAAAATCTAGCCAGTGGTAAATACTATATATAAATATATGAAACGCATAAATCTTTCGCAAGTTTCACAAAACATATGTTTATACATTAAATCATCTATTTCAAATGCTGGTTTAAAACATTGTTTGTATCTAAACAAACGTTTCCAATCTAAAACACATGTTTTTGTGGTTCCCGATCAACATTCTATCTTTATCTTTCTTTGTAAATAATTTCTTATTTTATTCTCAATGTATTTATTATTACCAATATTATTATTGAACCCTTTCAACATGCGTCACCGGAGAACGAGGGAGGCATGACTTATTATGTTTTTACTTATTGCACCGTCTGGTCTACTTATTGTAATAAACAATTTGCGAGTCCCTGTTATTTCATAATAAAAAAAAGATGAATTTGCGTGCCACGAGAGACGAGGCCTGCTTCATATGGGTCGTGAGTTTTCTTTAAGATATATCATTGGAGAACATATCTAACTAGGGGTCGGGTAGTGAGAACTATGCATAAAGTCGAATTTTTTTTTTTTTAATGCTTTATAGCAACAAAATAGGAATATTGGTTCTCTAGTTATTACCTATAATTCTATAAACATAACATTTATGAACAGTTTCGGCTGTTGACATTTACCATATATCGTAAAATGTCCAATATACCCAAATAAAAGAATGTTGAAAGGAAAACAGAAAACGAGGAATAAAATGAGATGTAAATTAAAATAGTAGTGATGAGGTTGTAATGCACGATCGTGAATCAGTAAGTGTTTGTCACGAAGCTGACTAATTTAATTCACATCAGTGTAGTCATTTCCATAGATTTTCTGATCCTTTTTAAGAAAATAAATGTTAATTTCGTTTTGCAGGGGGCGGGAAGGGGGTCAATGGCCTAATACGCCAAAGAGAATAGAACGCGAGTTGATTTTGCCATGTAATATTAGTAAACACAACGCTGCAAACCTACAAAGAAATGTGTAAACGCAACAACGACAAATAAACCAAAGAGAAACAAGTAAATTTTGTTTTCTATCCCAATGAATTGTCCGACGTTTTTTTAAGTATGTTCTTGGAAAAAAATATGTTATTTTCTTTTACGTCGAGAGGGACTTCTATTAAATGTTCGGAGATTAGCAAATTTAATATTTAAATATACAAATGTTTATCATATCATCTCGTAAACCGCTGAGAATGCGTTAATTTATCCTTATTTTAACTTGACCAATACAATTCTAGCACCTATTTTGGAAACTATTTTATTTAATTTATTGTAATTTTAAGTTTATATAAGTAAGATAAGATAGATGTTAAAAAAAAGGGTGTGTGTTTGTTAACCAGCTAACCAGCAAAATAACTAAGTAAGTGATGAGATCACAGTATGGGCATGAATTCCAATACTAATTCTGAATTTAGATTATAAATAACGAAATAATTTAATTAATACAACATGCATAAGAACACATGCTAATACCATGTGAGGAATTTATTACCCATGATACAACTCTCATTAATTATTTAGTTGATTTTTAGTATATATATATATATATATGTGTGTATGTGTGTGTGTTGATGGACAGAAAATCATATGATATTGAGAAATTTGGTGTAGTATATAAATATATTGTTGGCGACAATATGGCAAATCTGGAATGAGATAACGGCAAAAGTATAATTAGTTGGCACTAATATTAATAAAATGTGCATGCTAACCTATACATACCAACGGAGTTTTTTTATTTTTAAGAAACCAACTGAGATATGTATATATTATATAAATTGTGTTTGCATATATATGTTGAACAAAATACATATATATATATATATACATATATGTATGAAGAGTCGTTCTTTTACCAGTCTTGGCCAAGTACATCAAATGTCTTTTGATGTAAACTTTTTTTTTTGTTAAAGTAAACACTTATATTTGTTCATATAAGATAAGATGATTATGCCTAAAACAGAAAACCGGCAGAGGATGATAAGTTTTCGAACAAGGCCGACTTTTATAACAACTGGAACTTGGAAGTGAAGCGTTCGGATAATTCTCCATTGTACCAAGTTTTTTCTTCTTTTTTGGTCGAGATACGAAGTTTATTCTAAGGAATCTTAATTATACTAAGTAAAAAATAGAAATAAAATTTTGAGAGAATTTTGTTGTCATTTGAATTGTTATTAAATAATTTCATCACATGTCACTTTTATGTCAGTAATACTACTAACTAATTAATCATTCAGTAAATAATTAATTATTGTACCTTTTCTCATATTAACGACAAAAAAAAAAAAACACTTTTGATAATTTTACTTTTAAAATGAAACGAGGGGAGTAATTGTTAAAACTGGTTTAGTTTCTTATTTTTGTTGTTATTCTTAACCACTAGAGATGACCAGCCAAACACGTCAAGGAAAAACGATGACCAGCTAAACCACAAGTCAACTACCGTTGACTTCAACGAGGACAGTATTCAATACCAGACTACCAGTTACGGATAATTTTTTTTTATGTTATAGTATTAGCTAAAGACCGAAGTCTATAGACTAAAGACATTTTTTTGGTTCAAAGACTACAGATTAAAGATAACGGAAACAAACATGAAAATTATATTATTTGGGGCGTAAATTATGAAATAGATTATATAAAATTTTCATAAACGAAAGTCTCACGCCATTCACTTTTAAAAGAAAAAGAACGTACATAACTAATTCGAAGATATAGATACAGACACAGAATTTTTGGGTGCTAAAAGCAATGGCAAAATGTATTTTAAAATGGCTACGTGTCCTAGTTGCATTGGATCGGGATGAAACGTACTCCGAGAAATGCGGCTGTTTGCCGATCTCTTTACTTCCCAATCACTTGTTTTTTTTTCACAAGTGCATCATCTCATTATGCCCATTCACAATTTGATTGTACGATTTTTTATTTGTGGTTTAAATTATATATTTAGCCAATACTATAGCCGTCAAAATTTGATGCATCAAAGATATTATAATATCGACGCTTCGGTCGAGTGATTATGGAATAATGAGATATTTGCTGTCCAATAATTTTACTGGATCAATACATGTTCTTGTTTTTTTGGACAACATAAGCAGATTTGTCGTTATTAACGCATGTAATAACTAATTAGTTGCTTTTCTTTTTTTGCTCAACAATATAATTAGTTGTTCCAAAGACAAAAAAATGAATTAAAAAATTGGAAAACGGTATGCCAGAAGAGAGATAATACAAACTACAAAGCCACTTTTTATATTTGAAGGTCAAAAACTTAATGGTGAACTCAATAAAGAGATAATCTAATTATATAAGTACAAGACTTGGCCGTATTCATCTCGATCCATGAATCTTTCTTAGTATAAAATTACCTATATCATTCACCACATTTAACTATTTTATTGTTATATTAGTTCATTATATATAGAGAGAGAGTACAAGACTCCATCTTTCCCTAACATAGAAGTGGTCGAAGATTTCTTCATTCTGAAATCTGAAAAGTCAGCGCCTCTCTCTTTTCGTTTCATCAACCATTCTTCTTCTTCTTCTTTAGTTTCATAATTTTTTTCCCAAGAGGCCAAGAAAATAATCCTATATCACTGCATATATAAAAAAAAAAGATCGAGAATTATAATAGGAATTCTCTCCCTGTTCCCAATCATTCTTTCCCCTAATTCTTTGTTGTTTGGATTTAGATTTTCTAATTCTTTCACTGTGTATATATCATATATAAACATATATAGACACACACAGACACGCATATATCATATATAAACATATATATGATGTGTATATATCATATATAAACATCTCTTCTTCTCCTCGGAATCATACATATTATAGTATGTGCAGCGTCTTTGAGTCTTTAGACATGGACAACTTCCAAGGTGACCTAACAGACGTCGTACGAGGAATCGGATCAGGACACGTGTCATCCTCCCCTGGGCCACCGGAAGGTCCATCTCCGAGCAGTTTGTCTCCGCCGCCAACTTCAGATCTCCACGTGGATTTCCCCTCCGTCGCCAGCTGTCAGATAAATCCCTTTGGCGATCCGTTCGTAAGCATGACAGACCCTCTCCTCCAACTTACGGCCAACTCCGGCTACTTCTCCGGCGACGGAGATAACGAAAGTAACAACAGTTTTGCAGTCTTTCCTAAGGTTTTTGAGGATGATCATATCAAGAGTCAATGCAATGTCTTCCCAAGAATCGGGAACTCGCAAAGCAACATCATCCAAGATGCCTCCACGTGTAATTCTCCGGCCCTAGCCGTCTCCGCCGTCGCAGCAGCTTCGCCGTGGGGGATGATCAACGTTGATACCACTAACAGTCCAAGAAACGGTTTATTAGTCGACAATATTAACAACACGTCATCGTCTTCACAAATTCAGATCTCTTCTTCTCCTCGGAATCTTGGCATAAAGAGGAGGTAAATCTATAAAAATTCGATCTCCATGATTTAATTATCATTTTTCCGTCTTGATTAAACGAGATCACTTAATGTTAGGATAAAAATATAATAACACCATGTGATTAATTAGTTTTCTCGTTCAAGAATTTCAACAATTGACTATATATATGAATGACATACCATTTTTATTCTTCATATTTGAAAACTTGATTGTGCTAAACACCAAATTAATTTTCATGTTTTCATTTTGAAAAGTAATCTGCTATGTATACTGTAGACGTTTTAAATAATTGTTAAAACGTTATTTATCTATTAATTATAACCATTTTTCAAAGTTTCCTGGTACATATATATTAGTTTTTGTACAAGAGTTTAATATATGAAACAAACTGAACTAGGGCTTTGTTTTGTGTGTGTATATATGACCTTTACGAAAATTTCTGAAATATTGCATTTGTCTTTTGCGTTGCGATTTTTCTGAAACAAACTGAAATATAAAAGTTTTGCGATTTTTCGTTCTGTTTGTTGTTGTTAAAACTTTTTCTTTTCTTTTGCTTTTTCTTTTTATTCAACATTTTTCATTTTAATATAATTAATGATTATGTTTACATATACAGTTGGCAAAAAATCGAATTTTCATAGATTCTGTAAATTATTCTTGATTTGGTATTCTTCCAGTTAACCAAAAAACAAAAAAAAATTATATGCATTTCAATTGGGTATGTGCATAAGTCTAAATATGTTTATGAAATGTAAACATCATAAACAAACATGAACATTAACTACGATGCCATCATATCTTAAACAGAACTCATCATGTCCCACACTAACATTAATCACAAATTACCTTTTTTCCAGACATATACACATAGACTTAATTACATGTCTAAACGTAAATATCGCTTGATACAGGAAGAGCCAGACAAAGAAAGTGGTGTGCATACCGGCTCCAGCCGCCATGAACAGCCGGTCCAGTGGGGAAGTTGTTCCTTCTGATCTATGGGCTTGGCGAAAATACGGTCAAAAACCGATCAAGGGATCTCCTTATCCCAGGTACATATACAAACATGTACTATACACATTATATAAGTATGTTTTTTTCAATAGCAGAGTTTCGTAGCAACTTGAAAATCAGTATTCTTTTAATAAAATCCTGTATATGTTACTGAGATTTTTATTTTACAATTAATCATTAAAAAAAAAAACACATTATGTAGAGAATCTGAAGCTTTGCTTATCCATTCACAATTCACAAACAATATTGCAGGTGCAATCATTAGCATGGAACCATAAAGTAGAAAGTTCATTCAAATTTCTACGGCGCACATTAAGCCTTAGAATTCCTTATTGTGACATTTGATGCAAACTTATCTTAAAATCATAATATTCCAATGGAAAAGCTAGCTAGGATATCATTTAGATTTTATGTTCCGATCAATTGTGCGCGAATTGATCAAATGCATATATATGTATAATAACAAATTAAGTGATACATATTAATTAGAATATATGGTTAATCAAGTCTTTGATGATACTTGAATGATGAATGATTTGTTTCCTTCAGGGGTTACTATAGATGTAGCAGCTCAAAAGGTTGTTCAGCAAGGAAACAAGTGGAACGTAGCCGCACCGATCCAAACATGTTAATCATTACTTACACATCTGAGCATAACCATCCTTGGCCCACTCAACGCAACGCCCTCGCAGGCTCCACTCGTTCCTCTTCCTCCTCCTCTTCAAACCCTTCTTCTAAATCCTCTACCGCAACAGCAACAGCAAGTGCAAGTGCAACTACTTCTGCCTCGTGTAGAATCTCCCAAAACAAAGAAGAACGCAAGAAGTGTCACGCAGACGCTGCGGTTAAGAAGGAAGACGTGGAGGAGCGTCAGGACAATATGGAGTTCGATAATAATGACGTTGAAGCTGATACCTATAGACCGGATTTTCAACATCAGCCGGAGGATTTCTTCGCCGATCTCGACGAGCTTGAGGATGATTCTCTGACTATGTTGCTCTCTCAAGGTTTCCCCGGAGATAGTAGCGTTGGAACCAACCTGGAGAACAAAACGACTAATATTACCAACGTTTTTAGCGATTTCTTTGACGACGACGAGTCCTCAAGGTCGTTATAAATATTCTTATATGTATACGTAGAAATTAAATTATTCATGTGATTCGGTTGACATAAGTGATCGCCGGCGTCTGTAGCCGATGAGGGTAATCTCGTCATTTAAGATGCATTTTATTTTCGTGGGATCTTTGATAATCATCCATCTTATGTGAGCTAGTTAACACAAAAACCCTCTGGTTTGCGAGCTTGTGTGCATTTTTATTTTTATAGAGACTTTTAAAACATATTAAATGATCAAAACTAGCTTTTTTTAAGACGAAGGTTTCGTACCAAGATCCAGACAAATAAATAAACATATGAAAAACCAAATTCTTAATCACTATTCTTTAACTTTACTCTGTCTGTTCCTTGGTAATTATATTAGTCAGATTGGGATATATGGGAATGAACATATTATCTCAATTTTCTTTCACGAATATATATATGTCGTCATGAATACAGCTATGCAAGCTACCTAGATCTATAATATGATAATTGATATATATATATATATATCTAATGATGGTGAGAATAATTTCTCTTTTCTGACTATGCATGTGGATGATCTTGGAAGGCAGGAAGAGAGCCCTAGTTTCATGGCTTTTCTTACGGGCAGAATTAAATCAGAACACATAATAATAGTTATTACTTACTAGTTTGATAGAAAAATGTAAATATTCATTCTTTCTGACCTGTGACTGGTACTGTACGATGTTGGTCTAAATTATCTGAGAATTCAATCTGCATCGTTTGAAAACCGGCTTAACTTAATTTTTTTATTTCCTTTTGTACATAAAGAGAGCGTGTTCACTCTTCAGTTCTATATCGATTATTTTACGTTAATCATATTCTTTACAGGTCGGAAACAATGTTATTTTCTAGATTAAAAAAAAAATTGTTTGAAGACAGTCCACTTGTTTCTTTCCCTTCACAATCGCTACCTTGAACTCTAATTATTACGGCTAGCGTTTACCGTTAACCGATTTCATGTGTAGTTTCTTTACCGTGGAATCATTTGTCTGTATTAAATAAATTTAATGAAATAAAACTGTAAAAAACAAAACTCTATCTTTTAGAAAAAAATATCCAAAATAATCGCAAAGACATGTACAGTGTTTAATTCTTTTTTTTTCTCCAAGAAAAAATATCTCACATTTTTTTTTTACGTCTATGTCACACATACTTTTAAAAATAATTACTAAAAAATAAATCACCGCTAGCGTAAACAACATTATGAGAGTGTGTGGGATCTCACTTTTGATCAAAAATATACTGGAAATAGTGACGTTAAGTTTTGTCAAATCTATCGGACCTTGATTGATAGAAAGAAAAGTTGCATCACAACTTATTTATTTTTATTTTTCTAAAAGAAAGTGTTTTTTGATGAGAGGGCTGGAGAAAAAGAACAGTCGAATATTACACTTTTAATTATCATAAATTTTACTTTTATATGGTTTTATTCTTGAACGATGGGACATAGAGAATGAGACGCCAATATGAACTTGGACGAAGATTTTAGTGGGCAAATAGGTTTATGGGTACTACTATTTGGCGTCATGCACCTTCTTTTAGATTAACGAAAATGTTTATATTTATTTTGGGTATGATTAAGGAACATCATTTGGATATATAATATATCAATTGTTAAAAACAATAATATGATAAAATTTAGTGGTAAGTAAGTCCCATCGATAGACGATAGGCTTTGTATAGACTATAGCTTCGTTATAACCTTAAATAAATCCTTAAAAGGAGAATAAGCAGGTGATAATGATGGTTTGCCAATAATTATAAGACTAATCCCTCCAATTATGTTAAATCAATTTTTGAATGATTATAATAACATTATGGCGAAACGTTTTTGTTTTTGTTTTCTAAATTATAAATAATTAAAATTAGGAATCCCAAAAAATCCCAAAAATCAAGGCATCAATCATTCAACGGCCCCTTTTCGATGGAGAGTTTGTTTAATCTGATTGTTCGGGCTTTAAATAAGTAAGACCCACAAAGCAACAAAGCCCCAAAATTGTTATTGGTAATTTACACAAAGATCTCCTCACTTTGATGTAAAAAAGTTTCAACATGCGGACATACATTAGCCAACCAGAAAAAATTCAGACGATAGCTAATACATGGACAACTAGACAATAGCTAATACATAGACTAATACAAACAAAGTATTAGTTCCCGGTTAAGAGGAGATTAACCAGGATAATTAGCCACTAAATCAACAATACAAAACGCTAACTTAGAGCACAAATCAGCAAGAACAGACACATTTTTAGGGATTGCGAACTTTAAGCTTGAAACTAAAAGTAAAACTAGCTAGCCAGATCTGTAGACAGTAATTTGTTGATCTGTCGAGAAATCTTAGGGTTTCTCCAAACAGATTCTTCAGTAGTTAAATCTCGAACCATTTCACACGGAACCAAACATACTTCCTCCATTGATAGCTTCTCCTGGATTGCTTGCGAATCAAGCAAAACCCGAGTTTCGATTTCCACATTAGTGCTATGCGTCTGCAAATTAAACAGTACAATGAGAAATCACGACTAGGGTTTCAATTGTATCAAAGGGTAATTTTTGGAGTTAGTTATTACCTTCTTTGTGGCCTGCATCATTTGGAGAATCCCAACTTGACTCTGCAAGAACTTGACATACTTAGCGGCAGCTTGGAACATCTCAGCAGTGTTAAGTTTCTGGCCACCAGGGATGAGTTTTGCGAGCTCGTGAGTCTTCTCCGCAATTCGTCTTCTCCTCTCTCGAGCCGCCATGCTCTGAGATGAAAGCGTCGGTTTCTTGTTGTCACCTTGATCTCCTCGGCCTACCTTGAACGTTAAGGAGTAATCCGGGACTAGAAACTCTGGAAAGATAGAAGCTTCAGGAACGAAATCAAGGTCGTCGTAAGGGTTGAAGAAATTCGGATTAGGGCTCGGGCAATGGTTGTTAGTGTTACAATGGTAGCTCGAGTTAATGAGTTTCTGGCGTTTTGGCGTGGGGAGAAAGGAATCCAGGTTGTGAATTTCATCGAAGATTTCAGCTTTGGGGTAAGGGAGAGAGGTTTCTTGTGGAGGAAGAAATTGGTCGCAGAAAGCGTCGAAGTGATTGAGCTCTAAACGGGTTTGTGAAGGAGCTTCTTCTTGAAACAGTGGCTGGTGAAATTGCAGTTGCGGTTGAGATTGGAAGAAGAAACTGTCGGTCTCAGGGAGAATCGTATCCATATCGGGAATGAAGCAATCCTGGAGCTGGATAGGTGGATCCCAGTTAAAGAAGTGGCTTAAGCAATCCATGGACGACATTGAGGAGATTAAACCTGTAGAAAGGTAAAGAAGAAGGTGAAGCAATCAGTAGGAGTTACGAAGTATTTAAGTAGATGATTATTAAGCTTTTATTACTAGTAACGAGCTTAAAGATTAGACGTATAAAAGCAAATTAAACCATAAAAAAAAAAGACAAGAGAGGATATATGAGAGAATCAAAGACCTGGAGATAGAGGATATTGTCGTGTCTTTTGTTGTACTTCAATCCAAGTAGACTTCTGTTTACTCGTTAACTGTCTCGTAGATATATATGAGAGAGAGAAAGAGGTTAGGGTTTTAGAGCGGAAATAAAGGAGGAGTTACTATGGGTTCTAGATCTTTTGTAACGACCTTCCTAATTATTGGGGCATAAATTTTAATTTTGGCAAAAAAACTGTATCAAAATACGTGTAAAGAAGTGTCAAAATAGCTGAAAAAGTAGACATTTAAAAATACCATATCTGTAAATACTTTTTTTTTGCCAGCACCATTAAATTATAATATGCTGATGATTTAGAAAAATAAAAACTATTTGCATCGTGAGTTATCGTTTTATGAAAATTGAGACACATTTGTATTTTTTTTTTTTTGCATAAATTGAGCTTTATAAGCATAGTTTGGTACCAAATACAGTATTAGAGTAACCGTCAGTTGTAACTTGTAAGTTATTTTTTTGGCGGCTATTGAAATTAAAGCGTATCAATTAATGGAATAATATTTAATTAATCACCCTATATTTACTCTGCTTACGGTTACTACTCCTCACTCAGTAACTGCATCCTCTCGTCTATTTTTTAATCCTTCATTTTCTAAATAAGTGTTAAGTGCTGTAAAAAATATATCTGTCCAACAAAAAAAAAGTGATGTAAACAAAAATGTAAATGGTAAATTAACAATTTTTTTTATTCCTTCCCTTGTGGACTTGGTAAAAGAGACGGCGAGTTTGGCGGGTAAAGCAGGTTTCGTGGTTTCACGTGCCTCAGTCGTTACTTTGCCGCCAAGTTACTAACCCCTAGGTAAAACGGGCTTAAATGAGCTAAATGGGCCGTTAAATGGAATATAGAGCCGATTAAACAATTACTTTGAAGCCCATATGTCCATTTGTCTCTCTCCGAAAGGAGAAAAGAAAAATGAACAAAACTCAAGAAGCTCCTAGGCTTTTCTTCTTCCTCCATGGAGACACAGAAAACAAAGGGAAAATCAGAGAACTTAAAGAAAGACGACGACGAATGATCTTAAATGCTCTTATCTTGAAGCTATTACGAGAAGGCCTGGTTTTGATGTTTTGTGTAGTAATATGGTGTTTCTCGTCTGTGTGAATATCCGAGAACGAAGGAACGTAAATGCTTTGTACAGCTTTATGATCTTTGTTGCTGTCTCTCTCTAGTCTCTTCCTATGAAAATGATTTCTTTTATTTTTCTCTCTTAACTGTATGGGTTGATTTGGCGGGAGATTTTAAAACGGTTGACTTTCAACGTATACTTTTAACGTTTCCAAATTTATCTGGTCTCAATACTTTTTAAGTTGTACTATTATTTCCATGAAACTAGTTTAATTAGTTTTAGGTGGCTGTCGGCTGATTATATTGCTCTACACAGTCGTTTAGTCAGATAAAGATGGCCTTTTGCTTTTTGGCAGAATATTCTTCACTGGTGATTTTTTTTTATATAGAAGCAACAACCCAAAAGAGAGTCGTAAAATTAAATAGATACCCAGAAAGTTAGACACAAAAATTCAATAGAAGATATACCAAAAAACCCTAAAAACCAGAGGTCATAAGGGTAAAACCGTAAGATGTAAATCAAAAGAGGCATTGCATCTTGATAAAAAATCTCGATCAAACCTAAGTTGTTGCTTCAGCTACGGCAGATGTCTGTTGTGGTCAATTTCTTGAAATTGTGTTGACGAAAAAGTGTCGGAGTTCAAAATTTGTGTTGCACAAGACTTGATAAAAGGTCACTCTTGAGCAACACAAATTCATTTTTTCTTTGATTATTTTCTCAAACCACTCTCCTCCTTGAATCAACACCTTCATATATTCTTCCAGCTTCTTATTCTTCTTGCTCATCACACTCTTCCTTGATTTCACATAGTCTCTAATATATCCAGAATCTGAGTCGGAACCCTGTTTCGGAGCAGTGGAAATTAACAACGGTTTCATAAACCCTAATTAAGCGTGCGAAAAAGGTTTTCTTATTCATAAGTTTCGTCAAGAGACCGATTTAGACTCCTAAAATTTAAATCACTAGAAATTGCTATTTACCAGTATGAAATATGGAAGATGTATTACACATTTACACTGGTAGAAAAGGGTATTAACCAATAAAATATGGAAGATATATACAAAACATATGAGAGGATTTTGAACGAAAGCTTTAGGAACGATTTATGAACAACTTAAATACGGCATTTGAAAATTAAAAAGTGTAACTGCCCTTTTATTAATTAAATTGAAACAGACGAGTTAATGATAGTAAATTTGTGATTGGCCTAAACATTCGGCATACGCTTTCCCATAAACGCCTGACGTCTTTTTAGAATCCTTCATTTTCAAAAACATTAACTGTTATCTCTCTCAAGCTTTCACTTTCTCATCAATCAATTCTTGAGATGGCGTTCATCACTTCCTCGAAGCTTTTCTCTGTTTGTTCTGGTTTAAATTTGTTCTCTCCCATAGTTTGACTTTTGATTTAATGCTGTGTTGTGGTTTCTTTGTTACTTCTCTGGATTCTTTCTTTAGATTCTATGGTTAGATGATTTTGATCGTTTTTTCCAACTTTTTGTGTGAATATGAAGAGGTTTAAATTTCAGCTGGATAGTTCGTTGACACGGTTCATGACTGATCTAAGTTTGACTTTGTTTTCTAAGTCTTTTTAACTTGATATGAAATAGTCTGAAAGTTTTCTATTTTGATAAATCATGCAGAGCTTGTATCACACATGGCATCTAAATCTAGCGTAGCCACTAATGTAAGTGACCAAAGTTATGGATCCCAACCATCGATTGAAGATCAAATGGCCATTGTCGTTAAACGAGTGGGGGAGGTTAAGAGATTGGTTCATAAGAGCCCCCTCTACTGGGAATGTATAGAACTCCTTGCAAGAGACGAGGTTTCACGGGGCATATTCTATGCACTTCCAGATGGATCTAAGCTGCATTATCTAAAACGAAAGATAACAGCTTCCAATGAGGAAGAGGATGAACCCTTTTTTTGAGAGACATGATATGCCCTATCATCCCAATTCTACTACCTATAATCCTTGGTGGAACTGTGTTTTTATATTCATGGTTTATTTGTTGTGATTCAGTTTGATGTGGTACTGTGGTAGAATGTTTCATGTTCAGTGTTTATCTCGTTGTGATTGAATTTGAAGTTGTGTGGATTTTGAACTTGGCTTTGGTTTTATGCAATATGAAATCTATTGTGCTTTCCATATATGTTTTTTTAATTATAATTTGTGTTTTGTGTGTATATATTTGTTTTATGGTGGACAAGCCCAAATGTTAGGACTTAGCAGTTAGCACCACTTGTTTTTAGATGCAGACTAGTATAGTAACTCTACATATTATCCATAAGGCTTATATTACTTCTCGCTATTCATTTTCGAAGTCGTCTTCATATTTTAAACGTAAATCTGAGGAATGAACCACTAAGGAGTTCTTAAGGTTCATAATCGCAAAGACAAAGAAACAATTAAGAAGGTGACAAAAATGATAATAAAAATAATAATAAACGACGAAACAATTAAGAAAAAACAGAGATATCTACATGGATGATGCCATGATGGAGGTTTGCGTCAAGATCATAGTTTTGGTATAAGTTAACCACTTTTAGTATAGCTAGAAGTCTCTTAAAATAAAATTAGAATTCTCAGTTCTTCATATTATAATTTTATCTTATTGAGGGACATATTTTTGTTCATTGGTATTTTTCTATGACATTTTATCAAATAAAACTGCAACTAATATTTTGTTTCAGATCTCTAAAAACTATGGCGCGGTTCTGATGGATGCATAACCATTAATGAGTAAAATGAAATGATCTATACACCACCAAAGTACGACAGTAAGCACTCTGTAAGCAACAACCTATGCTTCCTTTGGCATTTGAGTGAAACGTATATTCTAAAAACCGGGTGTCTACAGTATAGTAATATATATCGACAGTAATTGAGCTATATTTTAGTGGCTGATTAATTTGTCAAATAAATAGAAAATCTCACTAGTTTACAAACGATTTGAATAATTTGGTTTGATACTTATCCCAAGATTGTGGTGAGAAAGTCTTCGAATTTTTCCCACGTGTATAATATTGGACTATAAATTGTAACTAACCATATCACATAGCCGGACCACTTTGGACCAGTCGATATCATCGTTACAAACAGTTCATTAAATCTAGGACCCATTGCAATTATTGGAAACAACTCAACCCATGTCAGAATTTTTTTTTTATAAAAAACTCAACCTATGTCTTGTGACTCTGCGCCAAGATTTCTTAAACGCACTTTTCACAATGGACCAATGACTTTGTTCGTATAGATAAAGGCAAATATTAGTTTTGTTTTTACTTAAGAAATAAGAACGTTACCTATTAGAGATTAACAAAAACAAGAAAAATTCACATATTGAAGATCAAAATCATTGATTCTCTTAGAGATTGAAACAACTATTTATAAACAAAAAAAAAAAAATAGACCGTACGCTTAACAAAGAAAATATAAACTTTACATGCTAATTTTTTTTATAAAAAAATTGGCATATTTTGCTTTTTAAGTAGAAAAATGCCCAAAATGTCTATACACTCATTTAGAAATATAAACTAAGCAAACGTAAAGAACCACAGTTCAAGACCAGTTGGCTGAAAATTTTGTGTATATCCTTGAACACTTGAACACATCACTAGAGATTTGCATATGATTATATGAACACAAGAAATGATTTCCATTTATTATAGATTTGAATTAATTACATCCAGAGATTGAACAAA